GAGAGACCATTCCTAACTGTTCCAGTGGATTCTTTTTTACATTTCACCTGTTGCCTTTATCATGTCTTCAAGTTGTTCTAAGTTTCTTACTCTCTAACCTATTAATTTACCCTATGAAATTAGGAAATTTCATTCCTGCAGCTCTTTGGAGTCTTATTCCAATCTGTAGTTTCTTCGGGCCTGCTTCACACCCTTTATCTTAGAATTTCTTCCTTTTGTTGCTTTTCTGTGATAACTTCATTAATTTCTGGATCCCATATCTTCTTCTGTGTTTACTCCCAAATTTTGTTGAAATATATCATCAAGTAACTTCCTGAGAAAGGTTATATAGGAGACCAACTTTGTAAGTCTTGGAATGTCTGGAAATTTCTTTATTTTACCTTCACTCTTGTTTGGTGGTTTGATGAGAAGACTTGACTTCCTTTTATTGATCTATAACGAATGTCATTGCTTTCAGATCTACATATCATGATTGTCCTTTACTGTACTTGCACTTATCAGAGTTTAGAGCTCCTCTGAGGTTTTGAGAGAATTTGACAGTTCCTTCTTCTGTTGTAGCCTCTAACATGCTTTTGTAGGCAGTAGCTTTCTCTGCTTTGCTTCTGTAGTCAATACTTGTTTATGTTTGTGTCTTTGAGAAGTCCATTGAAATCTCTTGTGTTCTGATGACTTTATCCTGTCCCTCTGTTGTAGTGCTTTATATCTTATTTCCTTACTAATAATGTTGAAGAGTCTTAGAGATAAAATGAGTCTACCTACTCTGCCATTTTCTCCCAGGTTTTTATTTTTAAAAGTTTAAAGTTGACAGGGCACCTGGATGGCTCAGTCAGTTGAACGTCCCACTCTTCGGTTTCAGCTCATATCATGATCTCCGTGTCCTGAGATTGAGCCCTGTGTCGGGCTCTGTGCTCATCTAGGAGTCAGCTTGAGATCCTCTGCCCCTCCCCCTGCTCGCTCTCACGCATGTGTGCACTTTCTCTCCCTCTCTAAAATAAATTAGTTAGGGGCACCTGGGTGGCTCAGTCGTTAAGCCTCTGCCTTCAGCTCAGGTCATGATCCCAGGGTCCTGGGATGGAGCCCCACATCAGTCTCCCTGCTCAGCGGGGAGTCTGCTTCTCCCTCTCCCACTCTCCCTGCTTGTGTTCCCTCTCTCACTGTGTCTCTCTCTCTCTCTCTCAACTAAATAAAATCTTTTTCAAAAAAAGTTTAAAGTTGACATATATTAAGAAAGTATCTTGAACATGAGATCCCTATTGATAATATAGTGATTTTACTGTGGCAGAAAACGATTCCTGATTTCATGTTGTGTTTCTACATAATAGCAGTGTGTATATGTACAGCTTTCCATTGGATAATGGCAAAAATTTTAGCAGAGAAGAGTGACTGACGTGTAATTTGGGGGAGGTTTTTTGTTTTTGTTTTTTCCTCTTCTTTACTATCACCACCTTAATCCAGGCCTTTCTGGTTTATTGCCATTATTGAAGGAGTCTTTTTATTGTATCCTAGTTTATATGCACATTGCTGCCTAAGCCACCTCCTTAGTGAAAGGTTTAATTATTAAATGTTACAACACTAACTGAAATTTTTCCTTTTTTTTTTTTAAAACAGAGTAAAAGAGCATTCCCTTTACCCTTGGCTTTTTTAAGGACTTTGTGTGGCCCCAGTGATTCTCAGAAATGTGACTCCTGACCCAACAGTAGCAACATCCCTTGGAACTTGATGGCATTGTAAATTCTTACACCCCCTCTCCCATTTCTGATTCAGAAACACTGGGAGCGGAGCTCAGCATTGTGTTTTAATAAGATCTCCACATGATTCTGATCTGTGCTAGAATTTGAGGACGGCTGATCTAGTCCATCCCTCTCAGTTTGCAGGCAGAGAATTGAGGTGTAGGGAGGTTGATTGGTTTGCCCAAAGTGTTATAATTAGTTTTCTTTCTAACGCTCAACACTTGATTTGACTTTTTTTTTTTTATGATTTTTAAAAATTTATTTGACAGAGACACAGCGAGAGAAGGAACACAAGCAGGGGGAGTGGGAGAGGGAGAAGCAGGCTTCCTGCTGAGCAGAGAGCCCCATGCAGGGCTCAGTCCCAGGACCCTGGGATCATGACCTGAGCCGAAGGCAGACGCTTAACAACTGAGCCACCCAGGCGCCCCTTGACTTGACTTTTTATAAGTTGGAATTAAAGCAATATGAAATGGGGATGTTGGGAAAGGCTTTATAGATAGAAAATATGGGACTTGCCAGAACACAACTATAACCTTATGTAAGTAGAGAGAAAAGAGATGGATATTGTAAGAAGGAAGACCACAATGAATAAAGGCACATAGATATAAATACATATATAAACAGAATAGACTAAGTTGACTGATAGTAGGTGTTCTTTACAGGAGTATAGAGATAATATATGTAAAATAATGATCACACTACCTGACACATTGATAAAATGTTAGCTACACTTTATTAGTGTTGTTGGCTGGTGGTGGTGGTTGTGTTGTTGATGTTGTTGTTAGGCGGACAGTATGGAACAGAAGACTGGATTCCTGAACCAAATCCCAGCCTTGCTACTTACTAGCTGTTTGAGAAGTTACTCTCTCTAAACCAACTATTGTTAAACTAATAACTGTTAATACTTCCTAGCTTAACAAGTTATTTTATACTGAATAACATAAAGCTAATGTCAAAAATCATCTCTCCCGAAAGGGTAAATTTTTGTCTTGAATTGAAAGAATTTACAAAAATGGCCAGGAAAAAAAGTGGAAACTTTAGTAAGAGGGAACTGGTTAAATTTAACAAGGAGCTAATTAAATAAATAATGGAACCTTTATGTTCTATAGCCATTGGAAACCATGTTTCAGAAAATTTCATGACCTGTATCATAAACATATTTCATATTCATGATGCAATGAAAAAAAGCAAGGTACAAAGCAGTACATACAGTATTTCAATTAAATTATATAATTTGCATAGAGAAAAATAAGTAGAAGAATCCTAAAATATTAATGGGAATAAACTCTGAGTGATGGGATTTTCAGTAACTTTTTTTCCTTTGGTGTTTTTCTTCAGATTTTCTAAGTGGACATATTTTTATAATTAGAAAAAAATTAGTGTGACGAATAACTTCAGTTGTGGCAGGATTGTTGGAATAATTTTATAGTTTCCCAGAATGACTACTGATACTTTAAAGGAATCACTATTCATTTTTTTTGTAGTCAGCCCATGGCATTTGTGGATTTCACACTGTATTTTTTTTTTTTAAGATTGATTTATTTGAGAGAGAGAGAGAGAGCTGGGGGGAGGGGCAGAGGGAGAGAGAGAATCCCAAGCCGACTCTCCACTAAGGGTGGAGCCTGATTCGGGGCTCCATCCCAGGACTCTTGAGATCCTGACCTGAGCCGAAATCAAGAGTCAGCCACTTAACTGAGCCACCCAGGCACCCCGACCATTCAAGAACTATTCTGAACACCCATCATAAGTAGTATAATATTTTGTACTAGTAATCATTATTTCTACCTCATAGTTTTTTTTTGAAGGTTGAATTGGATAGTATAAAAAAGGCCTGTAGCTAGAATATTTTGAATGCACCTTGCTAACTTGCAGCATCCTATCTCATTTATGATAATAATAACTAACATTGGATGTCTCTGCAAGGTACTGTATTGATGTTCACAACATTTTATAAGGTAGGCACTATTATTTCCATTTTATGGATGCACTGAGAATCAGACAGATTAAGGAACTCGTCCCAAGATTGCACAGCTAGCTACTAAGCCAAGATTCTAACCAAGAGCCAGTTTTTTCAGAGCCTGTATCCCTAATCATTTGGGTGTGGTATATCCAAATATTATTGATAGTTATACAAAAAGATCTAAGGAGATGCCCATTATGAAAATAAAGGGTCTGATGTGCATGTTCTGGTGTTTTGCATATAACACTTTTAATAAAATATGTGAAAATAGATTTTTTTAAAATTCTATAAACATTTCCAAAAGAATATGTTTTATTTCATTGTTATTCTATATGCTAAATACTCATAGTAATAAATACTCCTGGTGTTCTTGCAAATGCTAAATACTTCTATATCCAGTAGTAGTTAGCAAAACTAATTTATGTTCAGATAGCACAGTGGTTAAGAGTATGGGGCTCTGGAGCTAGACTGAGTTCAAATTCTGCCTCTACTACTTGACACTGTTGTGATTTGGGGCAAGATGCTTAACCTCTCCTTGCCTAGTTACTTACTTAAAACTAGGAATATGTTCCTCAGAGTTGATACAGTGATTCAGTGACTTAATACAGGAATACCTTGTTTTATTGCACTTCACTTTATTATATATCACAGATACTGCACTTTTTTTTTTTTTTTTTTTTTTTTGGACAGAGAGAGACACAGTGAGAGAGGGAACACAAGCAGGGGGAGTGGGAGAGGGAGAAGCAGGCTTCCTGCTGAGCAGGGAACCCGATGCGGGGCTCAATCCCAGGACTCCGGGATCATGACCTGAGCCGAAGGCAGACGCCTAACGACTGAGCCACCCAGGTGCCCCCAGATACTGCACTTTTAACAAATTGATGGTTTGTGGCAACCCTGCACTGAGCAAGTCTATCAGCACTGTTTTTCTAATGGCATTTGCTCATTTGTATTGGTGTGTAATGTTTTGGTGATTCTTGCAATATGTTAAACTTCTTCATTATTATTTTATAGTGATGATCTGTGATCAGTGATTACGACTCGCTGAAAGCTCAGATAATGGTTAGCAATTTTTAGCAATAAAAGACTTTTTAAATTAAGGTATGTATGGGTTTAAGACATAATGCCTAATAGACTACAATATAGTATAAACATAACTTTTACATGCACTGGGAAACCAGAGATTAATTTGATTCACTTTCTTGCAGTGGTCTGGAACCAAACCTGCACATTTCCGAGGTGTGCCTAAACATATATAAAACATTTGGAACAGTAGTGCTTACCACATGTAAGTGTTCAGTGTTAGGTACACAAGTAGTAGTAATAGTACTAGTAGCAGTAGTGGAATTGCTGCTGCTACTGCTGTTAGTCCAGTTACTGTTATTGTCATCATTTGTATTATAAAATAAACTTTTGAGACATCCAAATTACATAACTAACATTGTACTTGGAGTCCATTGATCTAAAACTTATTTAGCTACCCCTGCTAACCTTCAGCAAGCAGTTCACTGAACTTTAATGGGCCTTGGGTGCTCTGTCAGTAGAATAGTGTTATAACATCTTTCCTGTCAGGTAATCTCTTGATCTGTAAAACATTACTTACTAGAAATCTTACAGTTCCAGAAATTATGGTCTAACTTTGAACCGTGAAAGAAAGAGAACTGATGATGCTCAGCCTTCCTATCTCTCCATGAGGTCCATTTTCTTTCTTTCAGAAAAATAGTTTCTTATGTGTGTGGAGTTGACAACACAGGTGAAGCATTTAATGCTTGTTAGACTATAAAAGGCTTATTCTCATTCTGATCTTCATACTTTAAATTTATTGCTAAATTTAATGTGAAAATAAAATTAGGGACAAGCTAAATTGTTTTCTTTTAAGCTGTGTGCATATGGTGATTAGTGTGCCCTATTTTATATTTTCCTAACACCTTATGTGTGCCTTTAAATGGTGCTTACTATCGTGCTTCAATTATTTGTATGTCTAGCTTCCTACAGGATCGAGCTACTTTGGCAGATCTTTATATTCATAGTGACTAGCAAGTACATGAAAACTAACAGCTTTTTAAAAATTGCTGACTTATATGAATCCTAGATTAGCCTATAATTAATTAGGTTTGTCTTAACTGTTGATTTGAGGCCATGGTCATTCTGACCCTAAATTAATGATGCACTTGATTCCCTGGTCCTATCAGCTTCTACTTAAGATGTAATGCTAGTTTTGAATATTAATATTGTCCAAATGAACTTAAAGCGACTTAAAATTTGTGAAAGTTACTAACTTTAAAAGGAATTTTTTCCTGTTTGATAAAATAGAAAAGAATGATTGCATTACTTTATGAATTTTGTCAATTTAAGACATACGGGAAGGGTAAAACTGGAGGTAAAAAAACAATAGAAGAAACAATGCAAATGTTCCATTTTTGGGGTGAGGCTGTTCTATACTCCTTCTTTACCTGAAAGAGGTGGGAGAAAATGTCGTAGGAAAACAGAATGTGATTATATAACAGGAAAGAATGAAAATAAAGCTAAGCTATTCCCAAAGGATGTTAAGCCTTGATTTAGTAGTTGTCAGTTGGAGGTTTTCTTTTTTTTTCATCAAGCTAGAATTATGTATTCTTGCCAATTCTGGGCCCACAGATATTTTTTATATATGGTGTTGATAATTTTGACATCAATAGATAACAGTCCACTCTGCCTTATGTAGCTTTTCCTCAAGGATTGGATAGCACGTTGCCATTAAGCATCTATATCACAGTATGTAAATAATGATAGGTAATCTATACTTAGTGACTCTCCACGTCTCCCGTAGTATATTTACAGAGTGATTAAATTCTCTATCTCTAAATCACTCACTGGATCTTGAGTTTGTTGAGAATCCCCACAGTACCTCAAAACTCAAAACCCAAACCTGAACTCATCTTTTTTCCCCTCCTCCCCATCCATGACTTGCCCACAAAGATCCCTCCCTTGGTACATGACACTACCATCCATTGGATTGCTCAAATCAGTATTACTCCTGGCTCCATCCTCGTGTCACCCATATCCATCCAGTCATCAAGTTTTACGAATTTACCTTGTACATATATCTCAAATCTATTCACTTCTTCCCTTTTTATTACCATAGTTCAAGCCATGTTTATCTCTTCTCAGTTGTATTACTGTCATAGCCTCCTAAACTGGTCTCCCACCATCAGTGCCATCCATTTCTTACTGGTTTTTTTTTTTTTTAAAGATTTATTTATTTATTTGAGAGAGAGAATGAGAGACAGAGAGCACATGAGAGGGGGGAGGGTCAGAGGCAGAAGCAGACTCCCTGCCGAGCAGGGAGCCTGATGCGGGACTCGATCCAGGGACTCCAGGATCATGACCTGAGCCGAAGGCAGTCGCTTAACCAACTGAGCCACCCAGGCACCCCCATTTCTTACTGCAGTCGCTTAACCAACTGAGCCACCCAGGCACCCCCATTTCTTACTGTTTTTACACTGTTCAGGTAATTTTCCTAAAACAACTGTCGCTCTTCTGCTTAAAGACATTCAGTGGCTGTCCTTGGCTTTCAAAGTAAAATCTCAATTCTTTGAAGTGTTTTTGGCACCCTTCATGATCTGGCCCCTGCTACAAGATACAGCCATATGGAGTGACTTGTAGTTCCTTGAGACCTGTACTGGAGGTGGGCACCATTAGGTCTTGACACACACGAACTCCCAGTTTTCATTCATCTCAGCTTGGACTTTCTCCAAAAAATCTTCACTAATACCCCAACATCATCTAATATTGGTTAGATATTCTTGTGTATTTCCATAGTACTTTCTGCTTATTCCTATTACAGCATGTGACATACTGTATTTTTATTGCCTGTTTAGTTGTCTGTATCTCTCCTAAATTCCTGGACGGCAAATACAATATTCTGTTTGGTCGCTCCATTTCCCCCCCCACCCCCTTTTTACAGTTGTCAACAACTTTGGAGCTCCTTTCTTCAGGTCCATTTCCTTCCTTCCTTCTTCCTTCTTTCCTTCCTCCCCTCACTTTCTTTCAATTAAAATTGTATTTATTTTTCGACTTATTTAGACATTAAAAACAAAAAACAGTTTATCCATTTCTCCTACCACCCATCTGCCCCCTGCTGTAGCAACTATCAATCTGTTCTCTGTATTTATGAGTGGTTTTCAGGAGTTTTTTTGTTTTTTATAAGCTTTGGAGTTTTTTGTTTTTGTTTTTTTAGATTCCACATGTAAGAGAAATCATACAGTGGTTGTCATTCTTCATCTAACTTACTTCACTTAGCATTAATGCCCTCAAGATTTACCCATGTAACCACAAATGGCAAGATTCCTTTCTTTTTTATGACTGAATAATATTCCATTGTGTGTATATACCACAATTTCTTTATCCACTCATCAGTCAGTGGACACAGGTTGTTTCCGTATATTGGCTGTTGTAAATAATGCTGCAATGAACATTGGGCGGGGGAGATATGTATATCTTCTTGTGTTAGTGTTTCTGTTTTCTTCAGATAATAGCCAGAAGTGGAATTGTTGGATCATATAGTAGTTCTGCTTTTAGTTTTTTAAGGAACCTCCATACTCTTTTGTGTAGTGGCTGTACCAGTTTACATTCCCACCAGAAATGCACAAGGGGTCCCTTTTCTCTACGTCCTCACCAACACTTGTTATTTCTAGTTTTTTTGATAATAGCCATTCTAACAGGTATGAGTGATACCTCATTGTGGGGTTTTTTTTATTTAAGATTTCTTTATTTTAGAGCAAGCAAGCAGGGGAGGGGGAGAGGTTGAGGGAGAGAATCTCAAGCACATTTTCTGCTGAGTGCAGAGTACAACAGGGGGCTCGATCGCATGACCCTGAGATCATGACTTGAGTCGAAATCAAGAGTCCCGATGCTTAACTGAGCCACCCAGGTGCCCCCCTCATGTGGTTTTGATTTGCATCCCCTAATGATTAATGATGTTAAACATCTTTTCATATACCTGTTGGCCTTAGTATGTGTTTGGGAAAATGTCTATTTAAATCTTCTGCCCAATTTTGAACTGGATTGTTTGGGTTTCGTTTTTGTTTTGCTGTTGAGTTGTAGGCGTTCTTTATACATTTTGTATATTAGCCTTTTATCAGATACATAATTTGCAAATACTTTCTTCCATTCAATAGGTTGCCTTCTCATTTTGTTGATAGTTCCCTTTGCTGTGTAGAAGCTTTTTAGTTTGAGGTAGTCCCACTTGCTTATTTTTGCTTTTGTTGTTTTTGGTTTTGGTGTCAGATTAAAAAAAAAATCATTGCCAAGACCTGTGTCAAGGAGTTTACTACCTATGTTTTCTTCTAGGAGTTTTAATGGTTTCAAGTTTTTAATCCATTTTGAGTTTATTTTTGTGCATAGTGTAAGATAATGGTCCAGTTTCATTCTTTTGCATATAGGCTGTCTAGTTTTTCCAGCATCATTTATTGAAGACACTGTCCTTTCCCCATTTTATATTCTTGGCTCCTTTGTCATAAATTAATTGGCCTTATAGGTGTGGGTTTATTTCTGGGCCTTCTGCTGATTTTTGTGTCTTTTTACTCCCAATACAATACTGTTTTAATTACTCTAGCTTTGTAATAAAGTTTGAAATCAGGGAGCGTGATGCCTTCAGCTTTGTTCCCCTCAAGAATCAGGCAGGGGCTTTTATGTTTCCATATAAATTTTAGAGTTGTTTGTTCTATTTCCATGAAAAATGCCATTGAGTTTATGAGAGGGATTGCATTGAATTTATATATTGCTTTGGGTAGTATGGACACTTTAACAATATTAATTTTTCCAATCCACGAGCACAGAATATCTTTCTTATTTATTTGTGTCTTCACTTTTTTTCATTAATGTCTTACGGCTTTCAGTATATAGGTCTTTTACCTCCTTGGTTAAATTTATTCCTCGGTATTTTATACTTTTTGATGCTTTTGTAAATTGGACTGTTGTGTTTTTTTTAATTCTTTTTTAATTCTTTTGTATTTATTTTAGAGAGAGTATGAGCAGGAGGGGCAGAGGGAGGGAGAGTCTCAAGCAGGCCCACGCTGAGCACGGAGTCTTACACAGCACTCGATCCCACAACCCCAAGATGTTTCTTCTTTTTTCTTTTTTTTATCTTGTAATAGTTCATTCTTCATGTATGCAGCAGCTTTTTATGTATTGATTTTGTATCCCGCAACTTTACTGAATTTATTCTAACAGTTTTTTATGGCTTTATGGTCTTCTATATATAACATAATGTCATCTGTAAATAGTGACAGCTTTACTTCTTCCTTTCCAATTTGGATGCCTTTATTTGTCCTGCCTAATTGCTCTGGCTAGGATTTCCAATACTGTGTTGAATAAAAGTGGCAAGAGTGAGCTATTGGTCTTCTTCCTGGTTTTAGAGGAAGAGCTTTTAGCTTTTCACCCTTGAGTATGTTAGCTGTGGGCTTGTCATATATGGCCTTTACTGTGTTGAAGTATGTTCCCTCTATACCCACACTGTTGAGAGTTTTTATTGTAAATGGATGTTGAATTTTGTCAGATGCTCTTGCTGCATCTGTTGAGACAGTCATCTGATTTTTATTCTTTGTTAATATGTTATATCTCATTGACTAATGTGCAGCTGTTGAGCCATCTTGCATCCCTGGAATAAATCCCACTTGATCGTGGTGTATGATCCTTTTAATGTATTGTTGAATTCAGTTTGCTGATCTTCTGTTGAGGATTTTTACATTTAGGCCTATAATTTTCTTGTGGCCCTTACCTGGTTTTGCTATCGGGGTAATGTAAAATGAGTTTGGAAGAGTTTTCTCCTCTTCTTTTTTGAAAGAGCTTGAGAAGGACTCATATTAATTCTTCTTTGAATGGTTGGTAGAACATAACAATAAGAACCCATCATAAAAGGAAGAAGACCTATCAGTATGCTGCCTTATAAGAGACTCGTTTTCCAAAATAGATCATATGTCAGACCACAAAACAAGTCTTAATAAATTTAAGAGGATTCAAATCATATCAGGCATCTTTTCCAACCACAGTAGTGTGAAACTAGAAAATTAATTACACAAAAAGACTGGCGAATTCATGAATTTGTGGATATTAAACAGTATGCTGCTGAACAACCAGTGGATCAAAGGAGAAATAAAAAAATACCTTAAAACAAATGAAAATGGAAATATGACAAATTTGTGGGATGCAGCAAGAGCTGTTCAAAGAGGGAATTTTGTGGCAATAAATGCCTACCTCAAGAAACGAGAAGTCCAGGGGCACCTGGGTGGTTCAGTCGTTAAGCATCTGCCTTCAGCTCAGGTCATGATCCCAGGGTCCTGGGATCGAGCCCCCGCATCGGGCTCCCTGCTCAGCGGGAAGCCTGCTTCTCCCTCTTCCACTCCCCCTGCTTGTGTCCCTCTCTTGCTGTCTCTCTCTCTGTCAAAAAATAAATAAAATCTTCAAAAAAAAAAAAAAAAGTCTAAAACAACTTTATACCTCAAGGAACTGAAAAAACAGCAGATGAAGCCCAAAGTTAGTACAAGGAAGGAAATAACAAAGATTAGAGTAGAAATTAATAAAATAGAGACTAAAAAGACAATAGAAAAGATTAAGGAAACTAAGAACTGGTTCTTTGAAAAGATAAAATTGACAGATTTTTAGCTAGACTCACAAGACAAAAGGAGAGAGGGCTCAAAATCAGAAATGAAAGAGGAAATACTACAACTGATAGCATAGAAATACAAAGGATTAGAAGAGATTTTCTTGTTATAAGGATTGGAAGAGATTAGAATACAGTTACTTGCCAATAAATTGGACAACCCTAGAAGAAATGGATAAATTCCTAGAAATATACAACCTACCAAGACTGAATCATGATGAAGGAGAAAATCTGAACAGATGAATTACTAGTAAGGAGGTTGAATCAGTAATCAAAAAACTCCCAACAAGGGCCTTCACTCACTTGCTTCTCGGTGCCTGCTCCCGGTGGCCCTGAAGGCATGTGGGCCAGAGGCGGCCCTAAAGAGTCGGAGGCGGAGGGGAAGCAGGTGTGCAAGTCTAAGTGTCGTGGAGGCGCACTCTTAGGCGAGAATTGGGAGGAGGAGGAGACTGCAAGGATAGGCCCAGGAGCAATGGCGTCCAAAGAGGAACAAGCAGTAAAAAAATCTCAACATGGAGAATGCCAAACAGGAAAATGAAAAAAAAGGATGAAAAGGACCAAGTTGCTAATAAAGGAGAACCCTTGGCCCCCCTCCCTTTGGAAGCTGGTGAATATTGTGTGCCTAGAGTAAATCATAGGTGGTTCCGTGTTAGGCAGCCCATCCTGCAGTATAGGTGGGACATGATTCAGAGAATAATAAATTTATATTGGAGAACCACAGGCAAGGATGAGAGAGGAGAATATGGAAAGGATTGGGGAGGAGATGGAAAAGCTGAGGGAAAAGCAATTCAATCATAGTCTGTGGGCAGTTAGCACTGACCCTCCTCACCATGACCATCATGATGAGTTTTGCCTTATGCCTTGAATCTTGATGTTTTCCCTGAACCTGCTTCCTGAACTTAATGTTCTCAATGTAACCTTTGTTGTAAACCTTTTGGTGTTACATGTCTCTTGTGGGTCTCCTATGACCAGCTTCTAATTGAATGTTGTATTTTGACCCAGAATGTAAGATTCTGTCAGCAGGGGAGTTTTACCCTATTGCATGGCAAGGTGTTCATTATATATTGTGAAGTTAGTAAAGCAGTTTAAAAGAAAAAAAAAGAAAAAAAACTCCCAACAAAAGTTCAGAATCAGACTGTTCCACTGGTGAATTCTTCTAAACATTCAAAGAATTAATGGTTGCTCTGTTTCACCAGTAATTCACGTCATGCATGGCACATTCATTTATTTAGTCTTCATTTATTCAGCAAATATTTGTTGAACATACTTTATGTCAGGCAGTTTATTTAATTTTTTTAAAGATTTATTTTTTATTTGAGAGCGTGGGAGGGGGGAGGCTGCAGAGGGAAAGAATCTCAAGCAGACTCCCCACTGAGAGCACAGAGCCTGAAGTGGGGCTCCGCTCTGCAGGATTTCACTACCCTGACATCATGACTTGAGCCGAAATCAAGAGTTGGACATTTAACCTACTGAGCCACCCAGGCGCTCCTGTCAGTCCATTTAGAATGAAGTGGTCTAAATTTTTTCTTTTGAAATGAAGTCCTGTTTGAGTTTTCAGTAAGTTTTTATAGTATCAAAGAAGTGCTTCTAAAAATTATTATTCAGTGGTCAACATATAAATATATTTTCTTTGACCAGTCTTAGATAACCCCTATAGTTGATGTTGTGGTGGAAGTTTAGCAGAAGTGTATGTATGTGTATAAATAATAACTGAATACATTAATGGAAGTATATAATGGTATCTTGAATAATTATATTTTTTAAAGTTTGTAAGTATATAATTAGAAACACCTGATTATAGCAAGTCATGCTTTTAAAAAGCAGTGTTTTATTATGACTTTATTTCTGGACTCCTTACCTTAGAATATTTAAGAAAAAAATTTAAAATACTTAAGTTTTAAGTAAAATATTTAAGTTAAAAAACATTTAAAATGAATTTTATTTTCATTTCAGTTTATTCATTGGATTTTTTTAGTAGTTGGAAAAGCTGTGGTAGTTCCCAACTGTGTTAGAAACAGTTGTCAAGTGTAGTTCTTTACAGCGTGAGACTGGGAGCTGTTTCTAAACACACAGTTACTAGCACAGATTTGCTTAAGTTTCCAATCTGATCTGTGGCTATGGGTAAGTAATGTGGAATATATATAATATTTGTGGGTGAAAAAAATTACTGTAAATTAAATTCCATAAACTCTAACTTCAGGTTACTGTATAACCTAAAGGACTTTGAACCTCAGCCAAGCAGTAGTATAGTTTTTTGTAAGCCTTTAAAATAGTTAAGTGTATAAAAATTAAGATGTTCTTCTAGCTTCAGGATATATAGACTTAAGTCTCTTCTTTTGTTGAAATGAATCCTAGTACAAATTTTCAGTCATATTTAATACCAAGGATTTCAAAGATTATTTTTTAGTTAAAGAAGTGTGCTTATTTTCCAGACAGCTTTACTTAAACCTTGGCTCCTATTAATAGTGAAGACTCTGGTATATTTGTATAGGGTTTACAGTAAAATCTAAAAATTACAAAATGAAAATGTGTGTGTGTGTGTATAACATCCTTTTAAATTGTATGGTACTATTTATCTTTTAGAGCACTGAAAAGGGATTTTTGTTGTTGTTGTTTTTAAGATTTTACTTTTGAGTAACTCTGTACCCAACGTGGGGCTCAAACTCACAACCCTGAGATTAAGAGTTATGTAAGATCTACCGACTGAGCCAGCCAGCGGCCATAGAGCACGGATAAGGTCTTAAAAAAATGTGTGTGTGTGTGTGTCACTGATTTTTTAAAATATAGCTACTAGAATATTAAAAATTAAACTAAGTATTACATATGTAGGGGTGCCTGGCTGGCTCAGTTGGAAGATCATGTAACTCTTTTTTCTTTCATATGTGTGTGTGTGTGTGTGTGTGTGTGTGTGTGTTTCAAAGAGTACTTATTTTTTTATTTTTTTTTATTTGTCAGAGAGTAGAGCGAGCGAGCACAAGCAGAGTTAGGGGCAGAGGGAGAAGCAGGCTCCCTGCTCAGCAAGGAGCCCAATGCGGGACTCATTCCCGGACCCTGAGATCATGACCTGAGCCAAAGGCAGACACTTAACTGACTGAGCCACCCAGGCATCCTGAAAAGCATGTGACACTTGATCTCAGGGTTATGAGTTCCAGCCCTACATTGGGTGTAGAGATCACTAAAATAATAAATAACTTTTAAAAATTACATATATGGATCACATTCTGTTTCTACTTAGACATCGCTGGCTATTTCCTAACTGAAAATGATGTTTTCTGTAAGTTATGGTTGAAATTGAGCATTTTTGGCATTGAGAATTATTTTTTTTTATTAGTCTTAGATTACAGCTTGCTAAATATAGGCGTTCTAATATTAGATGTAAAGTGAAACTATAAAGTTAAAAAAAATTTAACAAAATGTTATTTTGAGGGCTTGCTTTTAGACTGTTGTTAGAACAAACCAATAACTAACATTTTATGATTTCTTGATTCTTGGATTGGAGCTAGTTTTAGGCAGTTACATTAACTATTCATTTTATTCATTGTCTCGTTTATTTATTTAACAAATTTTTTTTTCGTTTGCTTCATATGTGCCAAATCTATCTTGGGGAATGCTTCTCCATAATTTTAGGAGGGAACAAAAAATAATGGCTGTGCATGTTAAATAAGTTCATGGAGATGGAGGTAAAAAGAAATGAAGCAGTTCCTGTCCAGGTTTTTGTTTTATGTAAAGTAGTATGTAAGATCATCATAGTTCACCCACTAGTGATGGTTCTAGGAAAAATTCCTTGAATTGAATAAAACTAAAGTGTTCTCCATGGATGTGAATCAACATTTATTGAGTACTTACTGGACAACAAAGTAGAAACTGAGGAAATATATAAACAAGAGGCCTTGGGGCACCCGAGTGGCTTAGTCGGTTAAGCATTCAACTCTTGATTTCGGCTCAGGTCATGATATCAGGGTCCTGGGATTGAGCCCTGTGTAGAGCCCCATGCAGGACTCCGTGTTCAGCTTGAGATTCTCTCCATCTCCCTCTGCCCCTCCTTTGCTCTCTCTCTCTCTCAAATAAATAAATCTTAAAAAAAAAAAAAAAAAAAAAAAGATGCCTTGCCCTCAGAGCTTATATTTTTGTTAGGAAAATATGGCATAAAACATAAAAGTAAATAACAACATAAGGCAGCTATGACATATATGGTCCTTATCAGTACTGCAGATTCTTATACAATTCTACAGGAAATCCAAAAATGAAGAGAACACTAATGACTAGAGTGTTGTTGTTTTTTAAATCCTTCTTCTTTGCTTATTATAATAGTGGCCAAGTGATCTTTTCAGAATGACCCCTTTTTAAATACCTTCTAGCACTGTAACTTATTCTCAGAACAGTCAGTGGTAACTTATTATGAGAACTATGTAGAAATTTAGCACAGATTACCTCAGCACAAGTAAGAATTTAATACATTTCTTCTAGAACTGAGCTTTGAGTGCTTTAGAACAGGACAGTGTTTACAAATGGGAAGTTGAGGTTACGATGGCATTACACAATTCAAATTATGTAGCTTCATGTATTTGTTTGGTGTGAACTTCAGGTTGCAGCTGAGTTAACTAACACGTTTTCTTTCCATTAGTACCTCTGAATTCCTTACTTTTCAGTCTTTAATATTTGTTGTGTTGATGGTGAGAAGGAAAGGATTCTGGATTGGGTGGGTGAGGTGTAGGTGTCTGTAATAATAAGATCTATAGATTTTAAATAGGAATGGGAGTGGGGTGAGAGAGAGGGTTGTATAGGATGAAAAGTTTTGAGAATGTACTTCTGAGTGTTAAAGAAACTGGTTACCAGCATTATAAACCAAGCTGCTAGAGATATCATCCCCACATGCATACACACTACAAATATACAGAAATGTAGCACAAAACAAGAGCAAAACTGTAAGTGCATAGCTAAGCTCTAAAGAAGGAAAGAAGAGAAGGAAACCAGAAATGAGAGAAGTCAAATCAAAGCAGTAAGTGGGAGTTGGTGCTGCTGCATAAAATAGCACAGGGACCTTTTGGTCCTGGGATGTATCTCCTAAGGGTTCTGGGGTGGAATTTGGTGTGTATATGGGGATGGGAGATATGTGGCCTTGGACCTTTTCAAAATAGAGCTAGCACTAAGACCCAGGCCTGTGGCCTAGAACCCACAGCTTCCGAAATTGTGCAGAAATTTTAAATGACCAGTGATAATCTAAAAAAGAATATAAAGGAACTCCTGGGTGGCTCAGTTGGTTAAGTGGCTGCCTTCGGCTCAGGTCATGATCCTAGGGTCCTGGGATCGAGTCCCACATCAGGCTCCTTGCTCAAGGTGGAGCCTGCTTCTCCTCTGCTTGCCTCTCCCCCTGCTTGTGTTCTCTGTCTCTCTCTCTGACAAACAAATAAAATCTTTAAAATATATATATAAAAGAATATAAAGTAAGCGTGTGTAAAATTTTAAAAGGATAAAAAAAAGGGAGATGAAGCATGGTGATGTAATAGGCCTATTTAAAAAAGAAACAGTGGGGCGCCTGGGTGGCTCAGTCGTTAGGCATCTGCCTTCGGCTCAGGTCATGATCCCAGGGTCCTGGGATTGAGCCCCACATCGGGCTCCCTGCTCAGCCGGAAGCCTGCTTCTCCCTCTCCCAAACCCCCTGCTTGTGTTCCCTCTCTCTCTGTCTCTCTCTCTGTCAAATAAATAAACAAAAATCTTTAAAAAAATAAAATAAACAGTAAGACTTGAAAAAGAAAAACAAATCAACTTTCAGAAATTAAAAATTAAATAATGGAGGGGCACCTGGCTGGCTCAGTTGGTGGAGCATGCGACTCTTGATCCAGGGTTCTAGGTTCAAGCCCCATGTTGGGTGTAGGGATTACTTAGGAGTAAAATATTTTCAAATTTTTCTTTATTTTTTAAAAGATTTTATTTATTTGTCAGAGCGAGAGCACAAGGAGGGGGAGTGGCTGGCAGAGGGAGAAGCAGGCTCTCCACTGAGCAAGGAGCCTGATGCAGGACTCGATCCCAGGACCTTGGGATCATGACCTGAGCCAAAGGCAGACACTTAACCAACTGAGCCACCCAGCCGTCCCTAAGACTTTTTAAAAAGGAAAATAAATCTAGCAACACATGATTAAGAACTAAATCTAGAATGTAGTCCAAAAGTAAAAAGTTGAAAATACAAGGTTGATGGGGCGCCTGGATGGCTCAGTTGGTTAAGCGACTGCCTTCGGCTCAGGTCATGATCCTGGAGTCCTGGGATCGAGTCCCGCATCGGGCTCCCTACTCGGCAGGGAGTCTGCTTCTCCCTCTGACCCTCCTCCCTCTCATGCTCTCTGTCTCTCATTCTCTCTCTCTCAAATAAATAAATAAAATCTTTAAAAAAAAAAAAAGAAAAAAGAAAATACAAGGTTGAAAAAATACTAGGCTGACCTAAAACACAACAAAAAGCTGTTAGGAAAATATTATCAGGCAAAAATAGATTTATTTATTTTTTTATTAGAGAGAGCAGCAGGAGCAGAGGGAGATGGAGAATCTCAAGCAGGCTCCACACTCAGCATGGAGCCCAACTCAGGGCTCAGTCTCACAACCGCTGTATCATGACCTGAGCTGAAACCAGGAGTCCGACGCTTAACCAACTGACGAAGCCATCCAGGTGGCCCTCAGGCAAAAAGAGATTTTTAAGGCAAAGCTTATTAAGGATAAAGAGAACCATTGCATAATGATGAAATAATTCACCAAGAGGAAGTAATAATCTTGAACCTGTATGTCCAGATAACATTATCTTAAAGTATACAAAGTAAAACTTTACATACTACAAATAAAGGACTACCTATAGATATAGTGAGGGATTTTCACACATTTCATTCAGAAGCTAATAAATCAGATCATCACTACCACCATCCCCAACAAAAGTAAACACATAAATTATATGAACAACAGAGTTAAACGATCTTTTAGATGTGTTTAAACTTTAAAAAATAGAACGTAGATGTTCCCTTCAAGCGCACACAAAACATTTTTAGAAATTAACCACATATTAAACTACAAAGGGATGACATCAAAAATAGGCATATCACATTGGCAACAGTATGGTTCCTAGAAAACTTGCTTGGTTTTCCAAGTTTCATTTGAAAATGATGTTAATAGAATAGTATTTAAATGAAATAATAGCAAAAACATTTATTGAACGCTCACATGAGCCAGGCACACTGCTGTTTTGCATGTGTTATTCTATTTAAATCCCTTCAGTAGCCCTGTGAACTATAAGACTATCATCTTTAGTAGATGAGAGAAGTTAGGCTTAAAAATGTTAATTTGGGGCGCCTGGGTGGCTCAGTTGGTTAAGCGACTGCCTTCAGCTCAGGTCATGATCCCAGGGTCCTGGGATCGAGCCCTGCATTGGGCTCCCTGCTTGGCGGGAAACCTGCTTCTCCCTCTCCCACTCCCCCTGCTTGTGTTCCCTCTCTCGCTGTCTCTCTCTCTCTCTCTCTCTCTGTCAAATAAATAAATAAAATCTTTAAAAAATAAATAAGAATGTTAATTTGCCCAAGTCTGCTGTTTGAAAAACCTTTTTTTTTTAATATTCCACTGCTTTAAACCCCACCTTTTAAAAAACATCTTTGTTATTGTAAAATAATAGCCAGGTAGAGAAACTCCTATAAAACAGACATACAGGTTATCGAATTATTATTAAGGTATTGAATTATTATTAAAGTTGGGTATTTTAATACCAGTAGGTCAAGGAATAGAACTTTGCTGGCCACTGCAATAACCTTTTATGTGCCCTGTTCCAGTTATAATCCTTTTCCTTCACCAACAAAAAGCATTTTTATGATATTTTTTTGGCTTTTTCTTTACAATTTTAATAACAAAGTGTACATTCTTAAGCAGTATGCTTTAGATGTGCTTATTTCTTCCCCCCCGTTTTTCCCATGCAATTTATTTGTTGAGGAAACTGTTAAAAGTTTGACCATTTAGAGTTTCTTACAGGATTGATCAGATTCAGATTAGGTGTTTTGGCAAAACTTGGTGGGTGCTATTGTGTTCTTTCATCAGGAGATCTATTATGTCTGGTTGTTTCTCTTTTTCTGGTATTAGGAACTAGATACTCAGTGGTTAAATCCATTAACTCTAGAGATTGCAAATTTTTATTATTTCTTCATTTATTAGTATTTGTTTCTCTAGAAAAACTTCCTCTCAGCCAATACTTGATTATCTGGTGTTCAGTTTATGTAAGAGAGGAAGAATAAATGTTTATTTCCTATTATTTACCAGTTTTCAAAATGATGACTTGGTTTTCACTAGCATCTTTCAAAATAACCTTTTTTTTTTTTTAAGATTTTTTATTTATTTGACAGAACAAGACAGCGAGAGAGGGAACACAAGCAGGGGAGTGGGAGAGGGAGAAGCAGGCTTCCTGCCCACCAGAGAGCCTGATGTCGGGCTGGATCCCAGGACTCTGGGATCATGACCTGAGCTGAAGGCAGACGCTTAACGACTGAGCCACCCAGGTGCCCCAAAAATAACCTTTTTAAAAAAAAATTTTTTTTTTAAGTATCATTACTCATGGATTTAAATATATTTTTTTCAGTTCATTCATTCTTAATGGATGCTCAAATTGTCCCATCTTTGGCCACTAGAATCCTCTTCAAGTTAGCTCCCTGCCATCATGAAGTTTATGTATTTTAGTAAATATATGTATTTATAAACATATTTATATAGCCTCAGAACATACATACACTAAACACATTGTTCTGTATATTTGGGGTTTTCATACTTACTACATATTTGCAATAGTTTATCAGTCTGTATAGAACTGCTGTATATTTTGTAGTGACCACATAATAGTCTATTGTATAGCTGCATCATAGTTTAATAGTTACTGATGAATATTTTGATTGTTACCCTGCAGTATTATAAACAGTACTACAGCAGGTATCTTCGTACATAGTACTTTGCCCACATGTTTGAATATATAATTACAGAATCAATTCCCAGAAATGGAATTGCTAAGTAATAATAGCTATTGCCAAATTGCCATCCTTAAAGCAATTAGGAACTTCCCCCCCACATATTATCCTTTGATGATACTAGCGTGTGATCGCACTTTTTGATCTTTGATAATCTGCTACATAAAAAATCTCATTGTAGTTTTTATTAGCATTTAAACTTAATTCTGAGTTGTCTGTTCGTATCCTTGGCCTGATTTTCTATTGAATTGTTCATCTTTTCCACACTGATTTGTAGGCATGCAGATATAATAAGGAAATTAGCCTTCTGTGACATGTACTGCAAATATATTTTCCTTACTGTGTTGCTCCTTTAATTATGTTTATAGTGTTCATTTTCTCAGCAGAATTTTAAAACTTTTTATATATTAATCAAATCTATTAGCTTTTTTTTTTTTAAACAATTCATACTTAGAGAAGAGTTAAAAGTACAATACAAGGAGGGTTTTTTCCCTCTGATTGCCCTTCAGAAGTTGCCAGTCTTCTTGTCCTGCCACCTTCTAATACCTTAGTATTTCCTACAAAAAAAGATATTCTCCTAAATCACTGTACTACAGCTATTAAAAACAGAAAATTAACATCAACACATTACTACCTTCTAATCCTTTGACACCCCCTCCTTCAAGTTTCACTGATTGTCCTAATAGTAACCTTTTAGCAAAAGGATCCAGTTCAGAACCATATGTTGCATTTAGTTGCTGTATCTTTTCTATGTCCTTCATCCTGGGACATTTCCTTAGACTTGCTTGACTTTCATGACTTTGACAATTTGAAGATTATTAAAACAAATTAGAACAAATATGCATTTGTCTGAAGTTTCTTCAGATTAGATTTAGGTTATGTATCTTTATCATAGAAGTGATGCTGGCTTCCATTACGCTGTTTAATTATTTGATGAATCTGATGAATCCCTCTACTATATGCAACCCGTCTTCCAGTTCCACCATCCCTTCTTCTGTGTGTTGTCCTTCTCTTCCTACTCTTGCTCTGACTCTCCATTTTAGGCCACCCTCCCACCCACCCCCCAAACTTCCTTCTTACCCTTCTTGAGCTCCAGCACTTTATGCCACAGTTTGAGTCTATGCACTGTCTGCATAGATACCCTTTTCATCCTACTTGATGATACCCTTCACTGAGCTGTACTTCTCCATGGACACCCTCCTCACCCTGCTTTGATTCTGACACCTCTTGCAAGACTACAGACTGTAACCATTGTGGTAGTAAGTCTTCCATTCCCTTCATCAAGTGGACATGCTCCTCACCTTTTTTTAAATGCCTTCCAAAATTGGTTATAGCTATTTTCCACTTTAACATAAAAAAAATAATTTTCATTTTCTTTTAGTGATTTGATTTTTTTGTATTTAAATATATGTTCTGGGGCACCTAGGTGGCTCAGTCAGTTGAGTGACTGATCTTTTTATTTCAGTGGCTGACTTGATTTCAGCTCAGGTCATGATCTTGGCGTCCTAGGATCCAGCCCTGGGTCAGGCTCCACGCTCAGCAGGGAGTCTGCTTCAGGATTCTCTCTCTCCCTCTGCCCCTCCCCCTGCTCACTCAGTCTCTCTCAAATAAATAAATCTTTTAAAATATATATATATATATATGTATGTATGTATATATATGTTCTACTTTGGAATTTATTGTGAAGTAAGAAATGAAGTCCAACATTTCTTTCAGATGTTTATCCAGTTTGCTGGAATTTTATTTATTTGACAGCACAAGCAGGGGAAGAAGGAGAGGGAGAAGCAGGCTCACCACTGAGTAGGGAGCCCGATAGACAGCCGAGGGTCTCGATTCCAGGACCCTGGGATCATGACCTGAGCCGAAGGCAGCCACTTACCAACTGAGCCACGGGCGCCCCCCCGTTGGCTGGAATTTTATATAAAAGTTGTATCTAGGGACACCTGGGTGGTTCGGTTGGTTAAGCATCTGCCTTCAGCTCAGGTCATGATCCCAGGGTCCTGCTATAGAGCCCCACATCGGGCTCCCTGCTCAGCGGGGAGCCTACCACTCCCCCTGCTCGTTCTCTCCTCCTGTCTCTCCCTCTCTCTCAAAGTTATCTACCTCCTCTCCCCCTAAAAAATGTATGAAGTTCTTAAAAGTATATTGTTTCCAAGAGCTTTAAAAAAAAAAAATGGGTGTCATTTTTCATGTTACTTTTGTTTATAACAGATGATGATGTACCTGCAGATATGGTTGCTGAAGAATCAGGTCCTGGTGCACAAAATAGTCCGTACCAACTTCGTAGAAAAACTCTTTTGCCAAAAAGAACAGCGTGTCCTGCAAAGAGCAGTATGGAGGTAAATTAAAAGTAACTGCTTCTCTTTTTGTAGTGAAAGAATTGTTAGAAACAGAAAGGGAAATATCACCCTTTTTTTGAAGTAATGATTATATATGGTAAAAATATTTGCTTAATTAGTTTTCATTTTGTTTTTGAAGGGTGCCTCAACTTCAACTACAGAAAACTTTGGTCATCGTGCAAAACGCGCAAGAGTATCTGGAAAATCACAAGATCTGTCAGGTATTTCCTTTGAGAAAACTATAAGAGATAGGGTTAAATCTTTTTAATTTTGTTTGATACCAAAAAATTAAAAATTAAATACAGTTTAATGGTGCATTTGGGATTGAGAAGGTGATATTATAGAATAAGCATGAGAACCCTGACCCTCTCACTCTTTTGACTTTAATTGTTGTATAAAAATACATTTTATGTATGTAACCAGTTTCTGAAATGGTACATAACAGCTAAAAGAAAGAATACTTAAGTCAGGACAAAAGAAGATAAATGTGTGTGTCATCTGTCAAAGCAAAATGCTTATAAAATGATTGTTAACAAAACTATTCATTAGATAAAATGAAAATTATGCTCTTTAAATAGTGAGAAACTTCTTGCTATCACAGCAAATAGATTGTTTATATTCTGTTTGCTAATCTCTTTACAGCAGCACCTGCTGAACAGTATCTTCAGGAGAAACTACCAGATGAAGTGGTTCTAAAAATCTTCTCTTACTTGCTGGAACAGGATCTTTGTAGAGCAGCTTGTGTGTGTAAACGCTTCAGTGAGCTCGCTAATGATCCAATTTTATGGTAAGTGAAAATTTATTTATTATCTTGAAATACATTATTTGCCACCCCAAATGCTAAAAAGATGGTAGGGAAGTTGAAGTGCGAGTTGATAGTTACAATTAAATAGTTGGAACAAAATAATAATGCTTATAAATTCCAAGTTACCTATTTATCAAAAACGTAGGTTGTTGGTCCGAGTGGTATTTATGAAATAATAAATGAAGTACTTTCTCTGCTACTTACCAGTTAATAGCAACTGAGTGATTATGGGAAATGTTTTTCATTTAAATTTAAGCTTTTTAGAAACAGAACTATGTCTAATTTAAACAGGTAATTCAGTCGGATAGTTTAATGTGAAAGTAGATTTTGATACATCAGTTTTGGAAAAAAGTTTGACAGTTGTGTTCATGAACCTTAAAATATGCATGCCCTTTGACCCACGTAATTCCACTTCTGGAAATTTTTTTGCCTTATGTACAGAATTTTCATAATAGTACAGTTAACTGTGGGGGGAAATTAGAAATCTAAATGTCCAGCAATAAGGGAATGTACTAACAATGTAATGTCTACTTGAAGGGTGGTGATAAAGGCATTTAACAGTTATTTTTACAGAGTTGTTAACAACATGGGAAAATGCTGTGTTCTAGAAAAGTTTTTGAAAAGAGCAGAATGCAAAATATTAGGTGCTATATAATCACAACTGTAATAAATGAAACTATCTGTAGATAAAAAGACTGGAAGGAAACACTGCTTTGTACAGGAAGTGATAATAGTTACTATGACTACATTTCTGAGGTTTGATGGTTTTTGGTAATAGGATGTAAATGAACTGAAGATATATGAAGAGTTAAGTTCAGAGTATTTTATGGAAAGCCATCCTTTTAATAATAACTGTATGAGGCTTTTACAGTAAGGGTGGCCTTTTTTCCCCCTAAACAAATTTTGAAGAATTGACACTCTTTATTTTGGGAGGTGGACTATTTTTTATACATAGTTACATTGTTTTTAGCCAAAAACGTTTTTGAAGGATCAGGTAATTTTTTTAGTTGTTTAAAGGACTTTTTATGAAGAAATCTTTCATTCCTTTCCTCCTACAGGAAACGATTATACATGGAAGTTTTTGAATATACTCGCCCTATGATGCATCCTGAACCTGGCAAATTCTACCAGATTAATCCAGAAGAATATGAACACCCAAATCCTTGGAAAGAGAGTTTCCAGCAGTTGGTATGAAGTATAAATGGAAAATATTGATTTATATTCATAAATAAAAGTTTCTTTTTAAAGAGTTAATTCAAACTCAGGAATAGGTGTCAAGCCAATGAATATATTTATCACTCGACAAAATGTTCAGTTCTTTTCACTACTGACATATTTATTAATAATTTAAACAGTGGCAGTAAGTATCAGTAGCCTGAGAGCAGTTATACTTTTTATGGGTCTCTTTGAACCTTTTCTTAAATTATTAGTGTTCAGTAGTTTTAATTTTTATATGGTCCTTTATGAGTGGTTCTCAGCTGGGGGTGGTTTTGCTCCACAGGGGACATTTGGCAATGTCTGGAGACATTTTTGGTTGTCACTGCTGGAGAAGAGGATTCTACTGGTATCTAGTGGGTAGAGGCCAGGGATGCTGCTAGACATCTTAACAGTGATGCACAGGACAGCCCCCACAACAAAGAATTACTGTCCCAAAATATCAGTAGTGCTGAGATTAACAAATTTTGTCCTTTCTTACTGGATATTAGTGAGTCATAAGCTGTTTCAGATTTTACATTGCCCTATGCAACAGAAAATTAGTTGGAATAATTGATCATTGTTTTCGATATTTAATAAAAAATATACAGTATTTAGAATATGTTTACATTAGTAGTCAATGTTTGTTTCTGGTTTTTTTTTTGTTTTTTGTTGTTTTGTTTTTTGACATTTTAGTATAAAGGTGCACATGTAAAGCCAGGATTTGCTGAACATTTCTACAGTAATCCTGCAAGATATAAAGGAAGAGAAAATATGTTGGTATGTTTGATTTGTATTTTTATAAGACTTAAAATGGTAATCTTTCAGTTCTGTACTGACACTTTTATTTTTTTCTAGTATTATGATACAATTGAAGATGCCCTTGGTGGGGTACAAGAAGCTCATTTTGATGGACTTATTTTTGTTCATTCTGGAATATACACTGATGAGTGGATATATATTGAATCTCCAATCACCATGATTGGTGCAGGTATTCTGAAATGCATTGTCATTAAAATTTTAATTTATTATTTACATGATGGGTTTCTTAAATGCTAGTGACTTAAAATCCAGGTGAACTTTGATAATGGCTTAATGGTTAAGAAAGAACAGGAATATTGCCTATTGCAATGAAAACATGAGAGTTCAGAAATTACAGACGTATCCTTTTTTTTTTTTTTTTTTTTTTTTGAGAGAGAATGAGAGGTGGTAGAGGGGTAGAGGGAGAGAGATAATCTGAAGTAGGGGCTCGATCTCACAACCCTGAGATGATGACCTGAGCCAAAATCAGGAGGACGCCTCACTGAGGCACCCAGACGCCCCAATTTCTTTTTCTTTCTTTCTTTTTTTTTTTTTAGATGTGTATCTTGATGTGTGTACTTTGTCCAACGCCTTAGTTATTCATTAAGGAAAGATACTTGTTTTATCTTTTATTTGAAAATAAAGATGGTAAATGTTTCTATTGCTGTGTTTTTAATGAAACAGATGTCCTTGGTAAATTTTTTTGTACTATTTCAAAGCTATTTTTGTAGGCAAATTTCTAAGAATAAATGTAAATGGAATAGTTGTTGAGCACTAATCAGTCATTTCAAGATTTGTGCTGTCTGATTTTTTAAGGACACAGTACATGGGCCATTTTAAGATAGCTAGTAATTATTACTTGTTATTGAAATTTGCATTTACTGCCCCTTCTGCTTCCCTCCGGAGCCATTTCCACCACAGAGAAAAGGAGAGGAGGGTATAGAAAATTTTGCCTAGTGATTTGCAGTACCTTCCAGATCAAGGCCAGTATTAGAAATAATTTTCAATTAGGACATTTCTCTCTGTCTCTACCTACTCATCATCCCCTTCTCCTTTCCTCTCTCTGAGCTCTTCTGTTGCTGCTGGAAGTGATTTTGTTTCCATAGAAACCATTTTTGGGGGCACCTGGGTGGCTCAGTCATTTAGCGTCTGCCTTCGGCTCAGGTCATGATCTCAGGGTCCTGGGATTGAGCCCCGCATCGGGCTCCCTGCTCTGCGGGAAGCCTGCTTCTCCCTCTCCCACTCCCCCTGCTTGTGTTCCCTCTCTTGCTGTGTCTCTCTCTGTCAAATAAATAAAATCTTAAAAAAAAAAATTTTTTTTAAATATGTCATTGTATTTGATACTAAATAAGTAGCTAAATATTATTAGAAGTATTGTTATACATGAATTTGAGTGTAATGGGTACTCAAAGAATATCCACTTTAAATATGACTGCCTGGGGGCAGCTGGGTGGCTCAGTTGTTAAGCCTCTGCCTTTGGCTCAGGTCATGATCCCAGAGTCTCGGGATCGAGCCCCGCCTCCTGCCTCGGGCTCTCTGCTCATCGGGAAACCTGCTTCTCCCTCTCGCACTCACCCTGCTTGTGTTCCCTCTCTCGCTGTCTCTCTGTCAAATAAATAAAATCTTAAATAAATAAGTAAGTAAGACTGCCTGTAGTAAAGGCCAGTGAAACATAGTTACCTCATAAAATGAACATTATTCTTACCTATTCAATACTAATGTTTTTTAAAATCTCCCTCTGCATATTATGCTAAGTGAAATAAGTCAGAGAAAGACAAATACCAAGTGATTTCACTTATATGTGGAATCTAAAAAAACAAAACAAACAACGAAAAAAAACAGACTCATAAATATTGAGACCATATAGGTGGTTTACAGGAGGGAGGTGAGTGGGCAGAAAGGCAAAAAAGGTGAAAGGGATTAAGAAGTGCAAACTTCCAGTCATAAGATAAATGTCACAGGATGAAAAGTATAGCATGGGGAATATAATCAGTAATTTTATAATAATGGGGTACCCTGGTGCTTCAGTCATTTGGGTGTCTGACTCTTGATTTTGGCTCAGGTCATGATCCTCATGGTTGTTGGGCTCTGCGCTCAGCGGGGGAGTCTGCTTGAGGATTCTCTCCTGTCTCTGCCCCCTTCCTGCTCGCTCGTTCTCTCTCTCTCTCTTTCTCTCTCAAGTAAATCTTTTTTAAAAAATAATATACTAACTTTGTATGGTGACAGAGACTTACCATAGTGAGCATTTTGTAATGTATATAATTGTCAAGTTACTATGTTGTATACCTGAGGCTAATATGTCAACTATACTTCAATTAAAATTTTTCTTGAAAAATGAAAAAAAAAATCCCTCTCAAAAATGTACCCAATCTAAAAACAATAAAAAGGTTTCTGTATTATTAGTTTTATGGTAGGGTATTTTTACTGATAAAAAATTGAATCTTAGGAGCGCCTGGGTGGCTCAGTAGGTTGAGGGTCTGCCTTCAGCTTAGGTCATGATCCCAGGATTCTGGGATCAAGCCCTGTGTCGGGCTCCTTGCTCAGTGGGGAGCCTGTTTCTCCTTCTGCCATTCCCCCTGCTCATTCTCTCTCAAGTAAATAAATTAATTAAATAAATAAAATCTTTTTTTAAAAATTGAATTTTATTTGAATTATATCTGATAATGTGTTTTTTTAAATAATAAAGGTAATGTGTTTTAAAATATCTTCTCCACAGCACCTGGAAAAGTAGCAGACAAAGTTATAATTGAAAACACTAGAGATTCAACCTTCGTCTTTATGGAAGGTTCTGAGGATGCTTATGTTGGATATATGACAATAAGGGTAAGGAATTTTAAGATTTAGAATATGTATGTTCAGATCATTTAAGGCAGTGGTTCAGACAAAATTTCAAACAAAATATCTACTTTTCAGTTTAACCCTGATGACAAATCTGCTCAACACCATAATGCACACCACTGCTTAGAGATTACGGTAAACTGTAGCCCTATTATTGATCACTGTATCATCCGAAGTACATGTACAGGTTAGTGTTTCCCTTATGTTTTACTATAAAATGAGTCATTGTGTTGTTGCGCAATAGGTTTTTAAATAAATATTTTTTCTTCCAGTTGGCTCTGCAGTATGTGTTAGTGGTCAAGGAGCATGTCCCACTATCAAGCACTGTAACATCAGTGACTGTGAAAATGTTGGACTTTATATAACAGATCATGCACAGGTATTTTTAACTTTTATAAAAGGGTTTTTTCTTTCTAAAAATTTTTTTTAAGTTCTGCTAATACCTACTTCTGATTAATTGTTGTAGGGAATATATGAGGATAATGAAATTTCCAATAATGCTTTAGCTGGGATTTGGGTTAAAAATCATGGAAACCCAATTATTAGACGGAATCATATCCATCATGGACGTGATGTTGGTGTGTTCACATTTGATCATGGCATGGTAAGAACATTTATTCTTAATAGAAAAACTGACTTTGTATCAGTTAAATTTCTTTTTTTTTTTTTTTTAAGATATTTATTTTTAATCTCTGAATACCCACTGTGGGGCTTGAACTCACAATCTGGAGATCAAGAGTCACATGTTCCACCAACTGAGCCGGTCAGGTGCTCCATATCTATTAAATTTCAAATAGGTTTCTGCATTTTCTCTTCACCAAACTAGGTGAACTGAAGAGTATAGGTTTAAAAGAAATTTCAGCATCATATTTTAAAATTAATATGCAATATTCTATAAATTCATGAATCTAATATTATGTGCATATAGAGAAGATGGAGTCCTTAGGGAATTGATGTAATCTTTGATGGGAGTAAGATCTAATCCAGTAGTTCTCAAATGTCAGTGTGCAGAAAAGTCACCCAGATAGGGGTGCCTGGGTGGCTCAATCAGTTAAGTGTCTGCCTTCATCTCAGGTCATGAGCCTGGGGTTCTGGGATCCAGCCCCATGTCAGGCTCTCTGCTCAGCAGGGAGCCTGCTTCTCCCTCTCCCTATGCCTGCCACTCCCCCTGCTTGTGCTCTTTCTCTGTCAAATAAATAAATCTTTGGGGGGGGGGAGGTCACCCAGATAGAATAAATATAATATAATGTAATATAATGGGGACCAGGGTATGCATCTTTAATAAGCACCATTAAGTGAGTTGAATGCAGGTTGTTTGTAGGCTACACTTTGAGAATTAATGGTGTTGTTATTAGTTTGACTTCCATTTTATTCCTCTTAAAATTTTTTTAATTGGCAGAATTTTAATAAGATACAATGGTAATAAAATCAGTTCTAAAACTTACACAGCAGTTAATTAGGCATCTTTATGGATGATATTGTATTTTAAGTGCTATTGTGTCATTTTACACAGTTTCTAGAGACACAACTTTTTGAGCTCTTTTAGGCCACTATTTCAAAATAATGCTCTTTGGTGTCTATTCAGGTATTCTTTTCATTTAATGTCTGATTTTCATTGAGGCAATTTTCAAGTCCTATTACAACATTGGCAGCATTTTTGTTAAAGAGTCAGAGATGGGAGAGGAGATGATGGCATGGTGGCCAAACGGTATTTTGGTGAAGGTCTATTGCTGTTGTATGAATCAGGCAACAGAGGATTGTTGGATTCACATATACAAATTGTCAATTAGTGAAGAAAAGGATATTCCCATTAAGGATTAATAAAGAGATTTGTAAGGTATTACAGATTTGTAAGGAAAGGATGAAAATTAAAACCTAACATCTTGGGCCTATCATCTGTTTTAGTATTGTGACACAATCCTTTAAAATCCCTTGGTAGAATGTTCTTCCATTTTAGTTATTCTTTTGGCTTGGCATGGCATCTTTGTGTTGACAACCCATGATTGGTAGGATAACATCACTGAAGATAATCTTTTTAAAATTTTACTTTATTTTCTGTAGAACTTCAAAGAACATCAGAATAAACATTTAAAACTAGTTTCTGTACTGTCCACGCTCTTTAAATATACACATACTTATTCTCTGAATTTTTGTTCCTTTTTCTCTCCTCAAGTTGACATACTTTAAATTTCTATATTCATAAGAATGAATCATAAAAGATTTTCTACTTTTTTATTTTTAAAGAATTGTTTATGTAAAAATACTACATGTGCAAGTATAAATTATAGGACACCTCTAGGATTTCAGGGTATGACTCTAGCATTTGTCATTGTTAGCTTCATGTTTAATCTTTGAAGTATGAACTTTCCCTGTGAAAAATGAGGAAATAAGCACTTTATATTTCAACCCATCTCCATCCCATCGTTTATATTCTTTTCTTAAGTAAACGTTTATAACTTTTACATTCCTATAGTTATTGGTCAGTATTTATTCTATATTTGTTTACTTTTAGTCCTTTTATAACAGTTTCTCTGTTGCTGAATTTTTTTAAATTTTGATTCATTCCTTGTATGGCTGAATTTTCTCATCTAGCTATTCATTATTTGCTTATTTTTAAAAGAATGGTTTACAGGTACTGTAGCTTGAATTCTTGCCACTTGAGAATGCCTATCCATTACTTACTTACTTGGCTAAGTATACACAATTTTGATTATACTTTTTTCCCTCCGAATTTTGTAGTCATTTTTATATTTCTAGCATTAAATGTGGCTGATAAGTCTGAGATCATTTTGGTTTTTGTCTGAGATGATTCTGGGGTTTTTTTCTTGTGATGATTTGCTTTTCTACTTCAGTATTCATAATGTAGGTTTTTGTCGTTGTTGACGTGTTGTTTTGCTGGTTTTCTCTAACATGTGTTCTTTAGAAGCTTGGCTGTGTACTACTTTGTTCTTTAAGTTTTATGTGATTTCCTCAAATCTGTGCCCCTCACTGTGTCTCCATAGGTTTTTTTTTTCCCCCAGTATGGTTTTTATCTCTAATTTTTAATGTATTTTGTTTTATGGAATTTTTCTAACCTACGTAAAAAAGAGAATAGTATAATGAATGAATGCCCATTTACTCATTCTCCATCTTCAGCAGCTATCAGTTCATGGCCAGTTTTGTTTCATCTATACTTACTCTTTACTCTCTTCTCTACTCTCTAGATTATTTTGAAGCAAATCCTGGACATCATCATCTCACCCGTAAATATTTCAGTATGCATCTTTAAAAGATAGGGTTCTTTCTTTTTTCTTTCTTTCACATAACCAGTGCCAGTCTCATTCCTAAAAATAATTTTTCTATCAGTGTTCACAGGTTACCAATTATCTTGGTTTAATATTAAGTCCATTGCAGAGTGTTATTTTTGTAAAATACAGTAAGAATGCCATAGCAATGCCAAATTGCTATAAAATTTTGGAGACATTCTAAATTTATGAATTTAACACATGACAGATGACAGATTATCTATCTTGAAATCTGGCTATCCTTTCTCTCCTTTCATTTTCCTTTACTTTGGATAGTTTCCCTTAGATAGGAAGCATAAGTTTTAGATGACAGAAATTGCACATTAGTGTGTATTCTTGCTCACATTTACTTCTTGTGCCTGAGTTATTTTTATGAAAATAATACTATGGGAATATTTCTTTTCCGTGTTCCAGTCATGCCACTAGATTTGATCACCTTAGAAGATCCTTAGCTAGGCTTATGAGAACCTTCAGTTACTTGGAGAAAACTACCTTGCTAAAGGTCTAAGATAACATTTGTTAGGTTTCAGCACCCTACTCCTCCTTATCCAGATTTCACAATATTGGGCAAGTGTTTTATAGATAATAATTCGGGGTTGTGAAATAAAAAAAAAAAATTGGGGGTTGTGAAAGTTTATTTCAATGAAGACAGCATTTTTTTTCCCTCTATTTTTCATTCTTGAAAGAGTTTTAAGAGAAACTCTTAAAAGTGCTTCACCTTTTATTTTGATACCAGTGTTGAGTTTTTAACCTTATGGGCGCCTGGGTGGCTCAGTTGGTTAAGCATCTCCTTTGGCTCAGATCATGATCTCAGGGTCCTGGGATTGAGTCCATGTGGGGCTCCCTGCTGAGCAGGGAGCCTGTTTCTCCCACTCCCTCTGCCCCTCCTCCCTACTCATGTGCTTGCATGCGTGCTCGCGCGCTCTCTCTCTCTCTCAAATAAATGAAATGTTAAAAAAAAAAAGTCCCTGCTTTTGGAGTTTTGTTAATATATGTTGGAATTTTCATGGTTTGCATCTTACAAGGCAAAGTAGAATTCTGTCTATATCCTGCTCACATTTCTGTATTATTATGACTTTACACTAAAGGCATCTCTTAAAACCGATGCATTCTATTAATTACATTAACTGAACCCTTTAAGCCCATAACAGGAGATTGCTTTCCTTGTAAAATTATAAAACTGTTCTATCTGAATGTGGTAAAAGGACAATTGTAGCAATGTAGAGGCTTCTGGTTTTAAAAGCATGAAGAGTGGGGCACCTGGCTGGCTCAGTCGGTGGAGCATATGTGTGACTCTTGATCTCAGGGTTATGAGTTTGAACCCCGTGTTGGGAGTAGAGTTTACTTTTTTAAAAAAAGAGCATGAAGAAAAAAATGGTTTTTGTTTTCTTTTCTTGAATGTTATCTTAAAAGATAGAGGTTACAAACTTTATATTTGATGGAATTAAGGAACATTTTTAACCTTTAAATTACAACGTGGTAAATGACTAGGTGCCTATGACCACGCCGGCCATTACAGATTAGAGCAGATTATAAAACCTTATGTTCAGGGGGCACCTGGGTGGCTCAGTCAGTTAAGCATCTGCCTTCGGCTCACGTCATGATCTCAGGGTCCTAGGATCAAGCCCCACATCGGGCTCCCTGCTCAAGTGGGGAGCCTGCTTCTCCCTCTCGTTCCCCGCTTATGCTCTTTCACTGTCTCTGTTTCAAATAAATAATAAAATCTTAAAAACAAAACAAAACAAAAGACCTCATGAATGTTCAGGAAGATAAATTGGTAAACCTGATGTGAATATAAATATATTGAGGTGTTTAAACAACCGGTAATGAGTTTAGGATAGAATTACCACTAGAGGCCTAAGCAAAGGAGAATAACATAATTACCAACTTTAATAAAAAATTGTACAGCAAAGAACATGTAGTTATACTTTATGACTCAGCTCTGAATAGCATACTAATCTAACCAAAATTGTGGTTTCACTACATTGGAAGGATATAGTGTGAATGTGTGTGATGGTAGAAAGCACTAAATTCTTATCTTCTGTAATAGGAAATTAGTAGACAGTACCTAAAACTGCAAACTCAAAATACAGCAGTACAAGCCTTTACTTAAAAATATAGAGGTAGATAAAAAGAATCAGGTAAAAAAATTGAAGGGGGGGGGTGCCTCTGGATAAGGGAAAATGAGGAGAGGAGGCTGCTGTTTGCCTTAGTAAACTTAGGAATCTAGTTGACTCTCTTAACTATTCAAAATCAAAACCTAAAGAAAATAGAAAGAGCATCCCTGCATTTGAATCATGTTTAGTGAATACATAGCAAAGTATACTTGCAGTATAGTCAAGACATGACAGTAGCCTGTTACTGAAATCTTTATGCAATAAGCAGCATACCTTTCCTTGCCACATTCTGAACAAATTATGAAATAAAGCCATGAAGAAGCATGAGGAGGCTGAAATAATCATTTTATTACCCTTTAAAGGTTAAGTTGGAGAATACAGCTTCAAATAAGAACCAAATGGGTCTGATTCACTGCACCCCAAAATTAAATAAGCTTACTCACTCACTACTCCACGAACAAATCTTGTGATTTGTTCACAAGATTTGTTCGTGGAGTAGTAGCAGAAGGCATGCTCTTTTAGGGGAGCTCACTTCCCTGAGGTTAAGGGCAAAGCTGAATTAGTCATACCCAGTTTATTCATTCCCAAGTTTACCAACCAGATATGTCATGCAACTCCCAGCAGAGAAAGGAGCCTAATTGAGCTCCTTTCTGTATATATACCCAGCGTACATTCATTTTTATTTGGTATAAAATCAAAGAAGCTTTTTATATTTAAAGAAGCTATTTTTAATGTAATCCCCGCAATTAAAAAAATATTTAATCCAAATATGAAGAAGTTACAGATAATTTGTACTTTATTTGTGGAAAATGAAATCTGAAACTACTTCTGAATATTATTCTCGGAGGTCTGTTTTCTTAAAAGTAAACTAGAGTATTCAGAATTATCCTGTTTTTAACCTCCACTAGATTTTGTGAAAAGTAATGAATTAGTTCCTGCTTGAGTGCTTTCTATATGTGAAGTCCTGTATAAATGCAACAGAAGTTAGTATAGTCATTTCTATACAGGAGCTTATGATCAGGGAGAAATGGATATGACAAATAAAGGAACAGTACAAAGCAGTACATAGAGGTACCTTAAGAAAATACTTAGTACTTAGAGGGAATTTAAAGAAAGGAGAGCATATTCAGTTTTTGAAGGGAGATATAGACCAGGAGTTGAAATGGCTTTTAGAAGTGCCATCTTAGGAATATCTTATTTTTTTTCTCTTAATATTTAGTCTTGATTGGAGGTGCCTGGGTGGCTCAGTCAGTTAAGTGTCTGCCTTTGGGTCAGGTCCTGATTCCAGAGTCCTGGGATTGAGCCCCGCATCAGGCTCCCTGCTCGGCCGGGAACCTGCTTCTCCCTCTCCCTCTGTCTGTTGCTCCCCCTGCTTGTGCCCCTCTTGCTCACTCTCTCTGTCAAATAAATAAATAAAATTTAAGAAAAAAAAATTCTTTTTAGTCTTGATTGAATCTTAAAATTTAGGATATCAGTGTTACAGTAACTTTATTCTCATTACAAAATGAGCCTATCCATTACAGAAAATTTAAGAAAATCAGAGACATATAAAGGATACAAAAGCCATCTATAATACTTCAGATAATCACACCCTCATTTTTATTTTATTGTTCAAGTTACATTTTCTTGAAATAAAATTGAGATCATACTTAATGTATACTATCTGGAAGTATGTACTGTTCCTTTTATTTAACATGATAGCATGTAAAGCATGAATATAAGCCTGTTCCCTGTTATTGGGCTAAGATGAACATTATTTTATGTGTATTTTTCTGTAGTCTGTGATTATGTCCTTAGGTCACCTTTTTAGAATTTGTTTTCTTGGGACATTTTTAAATCTCCAAGGGTTTGTTTTTTTTAATACTCAATAAATCTTTGTTTAAAGGGTATGTATATTTATTGGGTAATAGTATTTATTTGCATTTATTGAATAAATCCCTATTTTTCTTCCCTGGCTTTGAGTATACTCAGACTAATTAGAGGAATTGTGGTTCTCTGTTTTACTAAAACATTTAAATTTCATTTATTCCTTGTTTATCATTTGAAATTTAGTGTGTATCTATGTTTTATTCTTACTCTTGAACATTTCTGATACTTGATTTGAGGCATACAGTAAAAAGGTCATTTTTTAAAATGTCATTTCTTTTTGGAAAGTAGCCTTACCTACAGTTTGATTTCTGTATTTTTCAGGGTTACTTTGAAAGTTGCAACATACACAGAAACAGAATAGCAGGCTTTGAAGTAAAAGCCTATGCTAACCCCACAGTGGTTCGATGTGAAATTCATCATGGGCAGACTGGAGGAATATATGTGCATGAAAAAGGAAGAGGACAATTCATAGAGAATAAAATCTATGCAAACAACTTTGCAGGTGTATGGATTACCTCAAATAGTGACCCAACAATAAGGTATTTATATGTAATTATGGATAGAAGTTACTTTTTCACTTTTTGTGTTATAAGAAAAGTCAAGTTTTAACTCTGTTTTTCCTAGATACCTGACTACTGCAGAATAGATTTTCCTAGTAAATGTCTGTGCATCTGAATGAGCATAGCTATTGCATTTATTTTTGGGTGTTCTGTTTGTTTTTTAACGATCTAAGTCATGCATATTACTATTTTATGAGCAGTTGCAAATGCTGTGATTTTTATTTTAAATTCATCAAACTGCATTATAAATGAGTACATAGGGCCATGTTCTTCTCTTGGAACCTGAATGACCTTGTCTTCTCTTTTTTTGTCTGAGAGTGTGCAGATAGCATAACTCAGGAAAGTAATTATCTCAAAGATTCTTGGACAGAGAGAACAAAAATAAAAAGTCAAAACTTTCAAGCCATCACTTTTCTTTAATAGTTCCTATCATTCCCTCTGACTACAGTAAGGAAACAGATCCAGTCTGAAAGGTGTTGGCTAAGACTGTAGAACAGAACTATTATAATTTAATCAGTAATGATGAATTTTTTTTTAAGATTCTATTTATTTATTTGACAGAGAGAGCGACAGGGAGAGAGGGAACACAAGCAGGGGGAGTGGGAGAGGGAGAAGCAGGCTCCCCACTGAGCAGGGAGCCCGATGCAGGGCTCGATCCCAGGACCCTGGGATCATGATTTGAGCCAAAGGCAGAACTTAACGACTGAGCCACCCAGGCGCCCCTGATGAATTATTTTTTATTGCTAAGGTTTATTTTCCACTGGCTTTATGAAAGTAGATTATGGAATTTCTGTTTTGTTAATATGCAGCAAATGTGTCTAGATCAGCTAAGAAAAAAGTTCTAAATGTATTAGCTATTTTGAGGGGAATGTTTAAGAACGTTATTTTATCTCGAGGGGCGCCTGGGTGGCTCAGTCATTAAGCGTCTGCCTTCGGCTCAAGTCATGATCCCAGGGTCCTGGGATCGAACCCCGCATCAGGCTCCTTGCTCAGCCGGAGGCCTGCTTCTCCCTCTCCCACTCGCCCTGCTTGTGTTCCCTCTCTTGCTGTGTCTCTCTCTGTCAAATAAATAAATAAAATATTTTTTAAAAAAAAGAATGTTATTTTATCTCAAATACTTAGGTGGCTCTTTTAAGCTTTAGGTCTTAGAAAGTAAACAAGGGAACTTAGAAATCATCTAGTCTGAGTCCCTCATTTTACAGATTAGGAAACTATGGCCCCTAGAAGATAAATAATTTTTTAAACAAATAAGCTCTTACTGAATAATGTTTATTTTTTTTATTATTTCTCATAATTATAGGGGGAATTCTATATTTAATGGAAATCAAGGGGGAGTTTACATCTTTGGTGATGGACGAGGCCTTATTGAAGGAAATGACATTTATGGTAAGCATGTTTTGTTCTATAAAATTTTGGAGGTTGGCCTGTCTTCCGGACATTAGCAAAATGGACCATTTTGAAACCATTCAAGTAGGAGAACTGGTCCTTTAAATTTTCAATAAAGATTATTTGTGATATTTATTTACTTAACAATCATTATTCACTTAACATTTACTGAGTACCCACTGTGTACCAGGAACTATACTAGATACCAGTGATGAAAATATAAATAAGACCTTAGTCTCAGGGAGTATCTACAATATCCTTAGATTTACTCTTTTTTCACTTTGGTACCAACTCTAAAGGGAGGGGCACCTGGGTGGCTCAGTCGGTTAAGTGTCTGCCTTTGGCTCAGGTCATGATCCTGGAGTCTTGGGATAAAGCCCCACAGTGAGCTCCCTGCTCGGTGGGGAAATCTTCTCCCTCTCCCTTTGCTCCTCCCCCTGCTTATGCTCTCTCTCTCTCCTGCTCTCAAATAAATAAAATCTTTAAAAAAAAAAAAAAAAACTATAAAGGGAAAATACTTATTCCTCATTAAAACTTTTTGAGATACTAGTTCAGTGGACCATTATTAGATGTGTGTGTGTGTTAGACACTGGTATGTTCCAGGGCTTTCTCTTTTGCTACTATTTACCTGGATAATACTTACATAAAGCTTACTCAATTCCAGGTATTATTCTGAACATCTTACCTGAATTGAGTCATATAATATTTACATCAACCCTGTGAAGTAGACACTATTAAATATCCCCACTTATTGATCAGGAAACAGAGGTACAATGAGGTTAAATAACTTAAAAGTCACACAGGAAGATAGAATTCCTGGGATTCAAAACTTGGCAGCCTGGCTTCAGAGTCTCTATTCATAACTATTATGCCCATACTGCCTACAATTTTTCTTTTTATACTCCTAGTTCCCTTAGTTTTGGTTTTTTAATGCTCTTGGACCATAAATATCTTTCTGAATATGACATATTTCACAAAATCGTGCTTTCCTAAAATTCTAAAAATTTTAACTACCATGTAATATAAAACTCTTACTGTGTTCCATGAGGCTCCATATGTTGACATTGTAACTTTTATTTTTAAATAGGCAATGCGTTAGCAGGAATTCAGATTAGGACAAACAGTTGTCCAATTGTTCGACATAACAAAATTCATGATGGCCAGCATGGTGGGATTTATGTGGTAAGTTAATGTAGTTCTAGAATGTCATGCATCAAAACCAGGGGAGAAAGGGTGGAAGAGGACAGAATTACATCTGGCCTTAGTTAGGCCATATTCAGCTTACAGAGTATGAATTTATGACTGTCTTTAATATTTATACAATAGGGCGCCTGGGTGGCTCAGTTGGTTAAGCGACTGCCTTCGGCTCAGGTCATGATCTTGGAGTCCCAGGATCGAGTCCCGCATCGGGCTCCCTGCTCGGCGGGGAGTCTGCTTCTCCCTCTGACCCTCCTCCCTCTCATGCTCTCTGTCTCTCATTCTCTCTCTCTCAAATAAATAAATAAAATCTTTAAAAAAAAAAAAAAATTTATACAATAACACTCTTGTTCTCCCTGCCAGTATATGAATGACTTTTATAGTATGTGTAATGTTCTGTAAAATTCATTCAACTGACTGAATTTAGACATAGAGAATATACCTTTTTTTTAATTAAAGTCTTTAATTATAATTGTCATTATGAGCTGAACTCAAAACAGCAACTCATTGGCTGAGTTTTATTTTTACACCGGAGTTTTGCTGGTGTGACTATGCTAGGAGTCTAAATCCATAATATCACGGGCGCCTGGGTGGCTCAGTTGGTTAAGCGACTGCCTTCGGCTCAGGTCATGATCCCAGGGTCCTAGGATCAAATCCGCATCGGGCTCCCTGCTCTGCAGGGAGCCTGCTTCTCCCTCTCCCACTCCCCCTGCTTGTGTTCCCTCTCTCGCTGTGTCTCTCTCTGTCAAATAAATAAAATCTTAAATCCATAATATCACTGAAAGTACTAATAATACTAGACCTGAGGTTTTTTTTAGTATTTTTTGAAAAGTCAGTTTTTCATTTGAATTTATACTGAGACATAATTGAGCATCTTACAAAATTTTAAAACCATGTATTGGTCCTATACCTTCTGTTACCATGGTGTATCTGAAACTGTTATAACTGATTCAAGTGAGAAGATGTAGGAAATTTCAGAAAGGTCCTTGTGTAATGCCAGGTGTTAACTCTAATTTTTATTTTCAGTTCTAGAAATGTCCATGTCTTAAGTCCTCTGCTCAAAATATAAAAATAAGTATTTTAGTAACCTGAGACCTTATTTTATTTTGAATGATTTCACCAGTAATTTGAAATAACTATTAGTTTACTAAACTAAATGTTATATATCTTAGAATGAAATAAGAGGCTTAAAAGTACAAAACCACATAAAGACAGTATAAAAACTTCTGGAGCTTAAACTCAGAGGCTACACAAAAACAATGTTACTACCTCCTCATCCAGATTAAAAAATAAAAATTGGGATTTTTTTTTTTTTATTATAACTGTCTTTAAAGGGGGGAACACACTATAAACTACTTGTTTCTAAAAGATATATATTGTATCAATGTAACTTTTATTTAGCATGAGAAAGGACAAGGCGTAATAGAAGAGAATGAAGTTTATAGTAATACTCTGGCTGGGGTCTGGGTGACAACTGGCAGCACTCCAGTACTGAGAAGAAACAGGATACATAGTGGAAAGCAGGTAAAATTATTTTGGACTCTTACATGGGAAATACATTGTTTTATAAACTTTTGTTGTCATTTGAAAACAAATTTTTTTTAAATTTTAGGTTGGTGTTTATTTTTATGACAATGGACATGGAGTGCTAGAGGACAATGATATCTATAATCATATGTATTCAGGGGTTCAGATAAGGTACGCATTTTTCACATTTGGCTTTCTTTCAGGAGGGCCAGTTGGGTGGGAGTATGGGGTATGTAGAAGAACTTTCCTTGTTATTTAATGCTCAATTTTTATTCCTCCTTTTGTACATATATTCATGCTCTTACCACATGCTTGGCTTAAGTTGTCAGAATATTGCTTTTCTTGAACCAGCTGAGGATAGCAGCCAGTGGCACATAAGCCTGCTGTAGGAGCACATTTCCACTGTTCTGTCATCCACAGTCACAGTCATAGTCGCCAGCATACTCCGTCACACTTGGGAAGTAGGAGGCTGTATAAACACTTGTGAGCTGTACCCGGCATACTGTAGGCACTCAGTAAATGGGAGCTTCTGTTTTTACACTATTTCTGTAAAAGAGTTTTACACCCCTCTTTCCTGTATTTTAAGTTTTTAGAAACTGTAATAGTACTTATAATTCCCTTCATTTTATATATGAGGTGAGTATACAATAATAGTAGTCACTTAATCTAACCTCCTCAGTTTAGTTTATATATTAGGAGACTCTATAGTAATAATGTAATCTATAGCTAGTATTCTGTGGGAAATAGAATTAAGCAAAACTAAACTGTCTTTACCGACAAACTTCTCAGAGCATCTGGACAGACTCCACTGTATACTTATTCTTACTGTGATTAATACGAATTTTTTCACTGTTACCTCATATAACATGGGATATGGGAGTAGAAGCGGTTAAGATGGCATTAATTTCTATTGTACCCGTAGGACTGGAAGCAACCCCAAAATCAGACGCAACAAAATCTGGGGAGGACAAAATGGTGGAATTCTTGTTTATAATTCTGGTATGTTTAATCTTTCATCTTTTTCTTATTGCTAATTGCCTTTAGAAATATACTTTCCAAATAACATAACCTAAATATTTATACTTGTAGGTCTAGGCTGTATAGAAGACAATGAAATATTTGACAATGCCATGGCTGGAGTCTGGATTAAGACAGATAGTAATCCTACACTAAGAAGAAATAAAATCCATGATGGAAGAGATGGTGGCATCTGTATATTTAATGGGGGTCGAGGTATTGTTGTTAATTTTGCATTAGTAAAAAATCCAATTTTTCATTATTCTTCCTCCATATCTTTAATGATCAGTGACATTGCCAATTAATATAAGCTTTATATGAGTGAATCTCAGTCTTTTTCCTTATCAGGTCTTGAGATGGTTTAGATTAGTGCCTAGAGGTAAAGGAGACAGATGTTTACACAATTTTTCTTTTTGTAGCCATCCTGAATGTGCTAGTTGTTAGGCATTTTTAAGGTAGAATCTGTTTACATTTTCTCTCTGGACTTTCTATTATTTAGAATAGTGACACGATTATATTTTAGTATATGTGCTGCCGAAGCGAGCACATGATACGATTATAATAAACACCAGGGTCCAGTTACAGAACTAGGTTAGAAATTAATTGGCCTGTAAATACATGAAAATGTAGTAAATAAGTATTGTTGTTGTACCTGTTTACAGCTGTGTTTGTTGGAGAGTGGAATTAATGAAGCCAAGGTGCCTGGTTTTGTATACATAAAGGTCAACTCATTTTGCATTGAGGCAAAAGTTCCACAGTCCGTGCCCCTTGCAAATGCATGTTGTTCCAAAAGAGAGACTAGCGGGGAATGTCAAATGCAAATTTATCACCATTCCTGAAATGTCAGTAACCCAGCACTATACATATCTTATATGGAAGGAATAGCTAGTTATTACTACAACATAATCAACAAAATTTACTACTACAGCCAAGCAGTGACGATTCCATTAATGACATAGAAAGAGCGCATAATCTAGTAATTCAATAAGGTGACATATCTGGTAGTCTTTACAAGATAAAATGAGGAAACACAATACAGTGGATGGTTTTATTTGTAAGGTGTTGAGAAAAGGTTCATGGACTAAAATCACTCTTGAGCTGTGTCTTGAAAAATGAGTATTCACTGGTAAATGTTGGGTGGGGAGACCATTCCTGGTGTAGAAAGCATAATTCACCCTCATTTGTTTTGTACATATTTATTAATTGAACACTTCTGTACCAACAATTGATACAGATGCTAAAGATAAATGGTGAATAAAACAGTACTACATCCAGAAAGTTGATAGTCTAATGGCACATCGTAAACAAAAGTGTAAAGGAAACAAAGTGGTACTATTTAGTAAGGCGCAAAGAGGTACTGAGAGTTGAGGCTAGAGAAAGGGTGCAGCGCCCAGATTCTAAGAGACTTTGTATACGGAATTCAGACTGGATCTTAGCAAAAGCAAAGATTAGAGGTAGGGACTTGGAGTAGTCTTTTCCAGGGGAAAAGCAATTTAGAGGTCAAAACTGAAATGCCAGGTCGAAATTCTACAGAAATAAAAAACGTTTCATGTCTTCAGAGCACAGAAACGCTAGTATGCAACTAATGATAATTCACTATACATAAGTAGGTTTTATAGGAGTAGTATTAGCTAATTCTTTAGTGCAGTGTATGTTTACATGTATTAATTCAGTCCTCATTATAACCTTTATATGTAGGTGCCATTATGCCCAGTTTAGATAAGGAAATGAGACAGAGTAGTAAGCAATTTGCCTACTCAGAACTAGGAGGTGGTGGAATCCATATTTGAAGTCCTTAAGTCTGATTGCTCAGCTTTTTTTTTTTTTTTTTAAAGATTTTATTTATTTATTTGACAGAGACAGCGAGAGCAGGAACACAAGCAGGGGGAGTGGGAGAGTGGGAGAGGGAGAAGCAGGCTTCCCGCTGAGCAGGGAGCCTGATGTGGGACTCGATCCCAGGACTCTGGGATCATGACCTGAGCCGGAGGCAGCCGCTTAACGACTGAGCCACCCAGGCGCCTCCTCAGCTCATTTTTTAAATCATGTTACACTCTCAGAAGAGAGAATAATAAATTTGATGGAGGGAAACAAATCTTCCAGAGGAGGTGACATTAGGAAGAAAGAGGGCAGGACATTCCAGGATGAGGAAATAATACAAACCAAAGGCATTAGAGATAAAAATGTATAGCATATTGAGAGCATTCAGTAAGACAATGGAATAGGTTAGGGGAATATCTTCAGAGAAGGCACATGATAAGAGTTGTAGGAAACTGGGAAAAATAGCAGAAGAGAGACTGCAGTAAACGAAGTTATCAAGTAATGATTATAATGATGACCAGAAATAATCAGGGCTTGAATGAAAGCATTGAGGCTGCAATAGTTCTAACAATACTTCAAAGGAACTAATTTTAAATCAGTGTTTTTTAGTGAGAAATAGGTGCCAGGCACTGGGAATGCATGGTTTGTGGTACCATGGAATTTCCAGTTATTGGTTAGAATGGTTACCTGCCATTTTAAGCAGTTTTTGGTTAAGTCCTACCTTAAACTCCTCTGAATTACTAATAAACTTGTCAGCTGAAAAATTAGTCCTTTGAGTTTTATACAACAGTTAATAAGAAACTTAAATATCACCAAAAAGGCTAGTGAAATTTGTTTGTGCATTAGCCTTAATCTGAGGAAATATTTTATTATAGGTCTCCTTGAAGAAAATGATATTTTCAGGAATGCTCAAGCAGGTGTTCTCATCAGCACTAATAGTCATCCAGTCTTAAGGAAAAACAGGATATTTGATGGATTTGCTGCAGGTTTGTATCTTTTTTTACCTGTAGCTTGTTTTTTATAGTGTTTGATCTTCAGTGTATTCTCTTTTGTTTAATAACTGAAGGTGTGCAAAGTGTGTTGCAAAAGTGGCTGAAAGACTGTCCGTTAACAGTGGGCTTTTATAAGAGCGCCTCATCCAACGTTCGGGATTCTGCTCAGCCAAACTTTTAAGACCTCCCTCTTGCTCTTCAGTAGTTAATTATGAAACCTTAACTGGGATAGAATGCAGGCTTGTACTACCATTTGGAATACAAATAAATTCAAGCCCTCTGGCCTCTCAAAAACTTTTTTCCCCCCCAAGACCTTGGTAAGTGAAATCCAAGTATTGTGCATATATTTCACCTTTTTGCCAGAGAAGATGACACTTTTTTTTTCTTCGTATGTACAACTAGTGGCTACCTAAACATACTTACGGGCAGGCATTATCCTCTTGTGCTTGCCAGGAAAATTAGTAGTAAGCTGTGAACCATCTGTAGTAGCATTCCTTCCTTTAGCGAAAAATAATGTTATTCTCAGTGACTCAAACATTTGCATCTTATTCTTTAGATGTTAAACTGTATAATGTAATGATGTATCTACTGTTTGTAAATTTTACTTCAGGTATTGAAATTACAAATCATGCAACTGCAACACTAGAAGGCAATCAGATTTTTAACAACCGGTTTGGAGGCTTATTTTTAGCGTCTGGTGTTAATGTGACAATGAAAGGTATGTTGGAGTCTGCTCTGCCTATAAATACACAAAATACGCCATGAAAAGATAACGGTATCGAAGTCATTGCTGTCACTCTACCAAGTTAACTACAACTCAAGGAACTATTTTGAAAGCTTTGACTTGTTCTAAATGGAGTATCTTACAAAGGAAAATCCATTTCTATTTTAAGCTGATTTTTTTATTTAATTGGTTAGCCTCCTTTAAAGGTCTTAGAATAATCCTATAATCTGTATTTTTATCTTAAGTCTTTGTCCTCTAGAATTTTACTTATTTTTTCTTTTATTACAGATAACAAAATAATGAACAATCAAGATGCCATAGAAAAGGCTGTTAGTAGAGGCCAATGTTTATATAAAATATCAAGTTACACCAGCTATCCCATGCATGATTTCTACAGGTATATTTCTAAATTACTTGTGAGTCTTGAAAAGGGGGAGATAAGTGATTTTCTTTTCTAAACTGGTAAAATGCAACATTTCTAGATTTTTCTCTTACATGTAAACTAAAGGTAGAGAAAATTGGGTATTTGGAAACTTACCAAGGGAAGAGAATATAATTGAGAATGTTATATTTGTCCACATTAAGTTCTGTGATCAGTCTACTTGAGGATTTTGTTTGGGACCATAAATACGGAAAAGTATACCGCAGCAACTCTTGCTATCACCACAATGCTTTTGCTTAGGAGTTTCAAAGTAAAGCTGTAATTAAGTGTCCCACATACCCCAGTCACTGAGATGTTTTTGACTCCCTTCCCACCCTGCTCCCAGGTTAAATTTTTCTTAAAGTTTCAGCTGCCTTCTGCAATTTGCAAATCATTTGTTTTTCTCAGAAGACATAGAAGATTCACTTTAATATTAAAGTCCTTTTGAAGAAATTAACCTGGGCTGGAGCCACAAAAATTTGGGGTTTGGTCCTCTTTTAAGCCATAGGTCATAGGGTAAAATGAAAATTTTGAAGAAGTAACATTTCAAGAAAAATAACGTAAGCTTTTGCTTTTTAGATGTCACACTTGTAACACCACAGATCGAAATGCCATATGTGTGAACTGCATTAAGAAGTGCCATCAGGGACATGATGTAGAATTTATTAGACATGATAGGTATGTAGCACACTTGTTTGCTCTATATTACCCACTTATCTCCCCCCACCCCACCCCCGGCCATCACTTTCCTAATTTTTGGGTTTTCATTTTGCTTTAGGTTTTTCTGTGACTGTGGTGCTGGAACACTGTCTAATCCTTGTACATTAGCTGGTGAGCCTACACACGATACAGACACACTATATGACTCTGCTCCACCTATAGAATCTAATACATTGCAGCACAACTGAATTCCTTCCCTAAAGAAAAAGTCCTGCCATTCTAACATCATAACTTAAAACATTTTTTTTGGAAGAAGACTTAAAATATTTGCCCATGCTACAGGAAGAGACTGTATTAAAAATGGATACACGAGGTCAGTTGACACTATGAAGCTCAAGCTACCAAAAAGAAAGTGGCAATATATTGACTCAGGATCTCAAAGCTGGGTGTTTTAGCATTACTGTGTAAAGACTTTCGAAGGGACAGAAGTGAAGAAATAAGCTGCAATTTTGTACAGATACCAACTTCTGAAAAAAAGCTGGGGTTTTTACAGCTAGCATTGAATGCAGTCCAGTTTGCAGTAGTACTCTTCAACAGACAAGCAGCTTTGTTGCTGCCTTTATGGACATGGGTACCAATTGCTTTTGTAATATGGTAAAAATGTGAGCTAGCACTTCTGCGTTTCTTTTGATTTTTTTTTAACATGTATTCAGATTGAGAAATATGATTTTAATGCTTTAATCTCATGTAGTTTGTTTTTAATTTCAAGCAAATCTTCTTGTACTTGAATGTGCCCTGTTTTGTTAGCACACCTAGACTTGCTGTAACTGTACTCATGTCCCAGTATGTACGTTCTTTCTATGAAAGAGAAAACACTAATCTTAAATTATATCCAGCAATGTTTCTGGTATCCTTTAAGAAAAGTTAAGACTATTATTTCCTTCCCTTTCCTGTGCAGCATTCAAAATCACCCCTAGAAAAAGTGAGTGTTTTAATGAGACTTCCTAGGAAGGGATGCACTGTAAAACAAAAAGTATTCTTGTAACTCAGTTTTGTGAAAGGTAAAAACTACTATGTTTTAAAGTACACTTTAGAAAGTCTCTTCAAAACAGTCCTGTATTTGAACTCTGTTCATAGTTTTTTTTTGAACAGTTTAGACGAACTGCTGGAAATTAAAAACAATTTCCTGCATTAAGCTGAGACAAGTATATATACAGCCCTATACAGTTTCATAGCTCCCCCCCATTTATGTGTATTGGTGACAGTGGGTATAAACAGCCTGAAAGTGTATGCATGTACCATAACATCTAGACTTAATATATTGTGGAGTATTCAATAACCATTATGTAGAAGGTAGATAAGAATTAAAAGGGTTTAATTTCCTAGAAAGAAAATGGAAAAATGGTCATTTTTAAAAAATAAAGTTTATTAGATCATAATGTTGTCTGAATTTACCACCTTTGTCAAAAGCCAACTCAAAGCTTCCAATGCAGTCTATAATTCCTTAATCAAAGTCAGCAATTTAGGGACAGCTTCAGCATCTATAGTCGACCTTTCACTAGCCAGGCAAACTTCCCTTAAAATTAAAAAAAAAAAAATTCAGTTCATGCTTTTCATAGTGCATCAACCATCCCCCTTTACAGTTTTAGTAAGGTCAGCTGTATGGCAAAATTATACCCAAGTATAATTACCGAAATAATCGCAGTGACTGAGTCATCTTCTCAAATTCTCTTGCTTTCCTATGTCCCTTTTGAATAACCTCCTCTGGAATATTAGCAAGCCTCGCTGCATTAAAGCCATAGCTTTTAGGACAAGCTCCCTTAATGAATTTATAGAGGAAGGTAATGGTCTCCTGGCTGGGATCCTCACATTCATTTTCTACCATGCATGCCTAAAAAAAGGAAAATATGTTCTGTTCATGTGCAAGCAATGGAAGTACCTGCCTTGATTCCCTCAAAAATCTAAACTTCTGAATAAGCAATTTATTATACATACCATGTGGCCCAGGCGCACTGCAACATTTTGAGAATAATCTTCTACTAATGAATGGTAGTGGGTAGAAAACAATGTACGACACTTTATGTTCTCAGCAAGTTCTTTAACAACCGCATTTGCTATTGCTGTTCCATCAAATGTTGCAGTACCTCTTCCTATGAAAGTAAAATATATGCATAAATTATGTATCTGCCTTATACCAGAAGGATATACCTCACAACAGAATGAAAAAAGGATAAACGGTAACCTCAATTAGTGCATCCAAATAATAGGCCCTGTTTAGCTAAATAGATCTGCTTATCAGCCGTGGAAGTAGGGTGCTGGTTTTAAAGATTTTTAACTAATCTCTACACCCAACATAGGGCTCAAACTTAAAACCCTGAGATCAAGAGGCCCACATTCTACTGACTGAGCCAGCCAGACGCCCCTGCATTTCTTTTTTTAAAGAGTACTCTGCAGGTACCATTGATGTTCAGAAACATCCTATTGTAACAACCATATTTTAATATGATGAAAAAAATTTAGCCTTGGTAAATTAAAAGACCTTTTCACATGATCTCTCTTACCATCTCCCACTATGGTCTATGGCACAAAGGTGAGCACGTTCAAACTTTTTTTAAAGAAAGGTCCGACCATCGTCAAGAAGAATGAAAGTTTTTAAAATAGCCTTTAAATGGAAATTGTAATGTCTTACCTAATTCATCCACAAGCACCAGAGAATGTGCTGTGGCATGCGTAAGTATACTGGCAGTTTCACTCAATTCAACAAAAAACGTACTTTCACCTAAAAAAAACACACAGAAGGAGATCTTTTTAAAAATCCTAAAATAGTACGTTCATCTTTTGGGTTCCTGTCATGAGCTACCCAGTACCACAGGTTACATCTCATGAAGAGATTATGCAATTCTTGAAGGAAGAACATTTTCAAATGCCTGAAAGCACTCCACTAACACCAGAAAAACCAAACATCGAATTTAAATGGCTCACACAAATTTCAAGGCAGATGTATTTATCATACAAAATGTAGAAATGAACTGTCCACTAATAAAGCCTTAGGTGAAAAAGAAGACTCACCTGACATTATTCTGTCGGAGGCACCAAGTCTAGTAAATACTCTATCAATTGGTGTGAGCCTACACACTTCAGCAGGTATGTAACAACCCACTTGGGCCATTACAGCTAATAGGCCAGCCTGTGAAGGAAGGAGGAAAGGTCTTTAATGTATTAAAGAAAAACAGATACAGATAGATAAGAACAATTATATACGAGTCAGGCACTCTTAAAAATTGTTCACAATCCAAAGTAGGCAAAGTGAAGCCTAGAAAACCAAGAGGCTTAGGGCCTAACTGCCTTTAAAACCTCAGAGCCTGTGACCTTTTAACCCACTGCATTAGTGATTCTCAACCCTGGCTGACTACACGGTAGAATCTTAAAATCACTGATGCTTAGAACCAATTCTAGACCGAATGCATCTATTTGGGACGATGGAAGCCCCTCTGTACTTTTTTTGTCAAGCTCTCCCAAGTAATATTAAAAAACGAAAATGGGATTGAAAACCACAGACTATACTGCCTCCTGCTAGTTAGCAAATTTGGTGAACCTAATCATACAGGAGAGCAGGGGGGTCAGCAAATATTTTTAGTCAAGGGTCCAATGTCTCTGTCACATTTTTTTTCCTTTCTACAACCTTTTAAAAAATGTAAGTATGTTTAGCTCAGTGGCTGGCCAACCCCTGGTATAAAGAGAAGACAAAAGCAGTTTCCAACAGTTATTAGAGGTCCTGAATTTCAACTGCTCTCCTACCTGAACAAGTCTGTCATGGTTCTTTTATAAGGATTCCCACACATGAGTCTGAGAAACAAACCTCCAGCATTTTCATTCATTATGAATACATCTACCTTCAGAGGAAATGAATCCAATCAAGTCAAACAGTTTATAAAGAAATCATGACCTGAAATCTCGAATTTTTAATGTATGCTCCCCATAACATGAGGCAGATACCTGATAAAGGTAAATACAATTACAAAGCATTTTTCCTTTGCTTCCTATTATGCTGGTGACTGAATTCTATGTAATTTATGTGCTATCTGGGAAAGGGTGGCCTAAATATGTAATATATTCCGAAAGTATACAAATGACTTTGTATAACACCACCTTAATGTTCAGTTTACCTGTCTCATGAGCGTAGACTTGCCCCCCATGTTAGGTCCAGTCACAAGCACACAATAAGCTTTGCCATTTTCCTCCTCCTCCTCTTCCTCACAGCCTATTAGAATGTCATTAGGTATAAAGTCATCTCCAAAAAAAGTCTTCGTAATGCAGGGATGACGTGATCCTCTAAGGTCTAAGAAGGGAGGAGTGCCTTCTTCTGGCAACAGAACTACTGGACGACACATAGGGCCATCACCCCCTCGACTGTAGTTAGCCAGGCACAGTAAGACATCTGTTAAAGAGAGGGTGAAAGTGAGGCTTCATTTTTGAGGCTGCTTGAGAAGCACAAAAAATCAACTAATTAAGTCTTTCAAAAACACTTTTTCAGAGGAGGACAGTATATTCTAGTTGCTTTTTATACATGTTTTTTTCTAAGAGGCAAACTTACATAAAAGAATCTTAAAGTAAATTCACCAATTTTGAACACCTGTGCTGAGGGAAGATTTAAATTACCCACCAAACTGTTCAAAGTTGTATTGGTTTAAGGAATAATTGTGCTATTCAATTCTGGACAGTTGTATTCAGATCAGAACAGTTCTATTACAAATTTGGGTAACCTATGGTTACTATATTTTTACAACACAGGAAAAAAACCTAAACTGTAAAACAGCAAAGGCTCCAAATAAGTTGGAAATTTAAAGAAAAAGGAAACTATTTATGAAATTGAAAAGGTTGCCAAATTACAAATATATAAATCAGGGCTCTTAGAAATCAACTATAAGAAAAAAGTGTGATAATTTGGGCTAAGATAAAAAGATTAAGATCTTAAAATATATGCATGTAAAGAGATCAACTGAAAAAAGAAAAAAGTGATGTGCCAAGACATAGTTTTAATTTAATTTAGTCTAACAAAAAAGAGAAACTTAAACATTATCAAAAACAGTATCAGATACTAAAGGTACTAAAAATCTGGGGTGCCTGGGTGGGTCAGTCAGTTGAGCATCTGGAACGTATGACTCTTGATCTCAGCTCACGTCTTAATCTCAGGGTTCAAGCCCCGAATTTAAAAACAAAGCAAAATAAAGCCCCTGCTTTAAAAAAAATAAATAAATAAAGGTACTAAAAACCTTTCAGTCTTTCATTCAATTATTCAAGACTGAGTAAGGGCAAAAGTGAACTTAAATTGCTATAGGCAAACGAGCCATTTGTCAAGTGAGGAGGCAAGTATATACATACACGTCAAGACATACACCTTGTTTGCTGTGTTTAGAGATCTACCTCAATGGCAAATGTCCAATGGATTTAAATCTTAACACATAACTGGGACACAAGGACTAACCAAAGTTTGTTCAAAGTCTTACCCAATATTGCGATGCACTCAACAGCAGACTGCCAGTCCTTGTAATTTTTATCAAAGTTAAAGAACAGTCGCCGCATGCAGTCCTTCAATGATACGTCTCTCCGTTCTTCAGCATTTATCAGATTAGCCAACTTCTTCTCAATAGTTTTGGTCCAGTATCGCTTACACCCCTTCTTGGTAGATTTTAGCTCATATTCTTCTGGCAAATTACGAGTGATGAAATTCTCTGGAATTTCCAACTGGTAACGGTTCCTACCGATCCCCCAGTAGACAATGGTCCTACAGCCAATTCGACTGCGCTGTTTCTCCAAGTATTCCAGGAGGCTCTGTTCATTTTCTCTTATGTCAGCAAGAGCTTGGTCATAATCAGAGTCAAATCCCGCTTTGGGAGTAATTAGTCCAGTCTTTCGAGCCTTCTCATGGTCAAAGGCTGTATCCCATCGGTTCAGTTCTATAGTCAAATCTGGAAAACGACCCTCAGGATTTTTTGTCTGTAGAGTAATGACCTGCTTAAGGATTTTAGACTTAAAGTCGTCAACGACTTCTTCCATAATCTCTATAATTTTACATACTACTTTGAATCCTTCTAGAGCAGAAAGAAAATCAATAATCTTTTTTTTGCTGTATGTAGTTTCTTCATACATGATAGCCCTGCTATCTGGGTGGTTCTGGCTCTTCAGGGGAGACCCAACATTATGAATTTTACTCAGCAGCCTTTCAAGGTCTGGAAGCTTCTTCAGAAGGTCTACCACATCAGAGATTTTGTCAGGCACAACCATGAGGTCTTCTATAGCATCTAGACGATCGTTGATAGCATAAGGGCTACAGAGTGGGGCACAAAGCCACTGCTTTAGAAGCCGCTTACCAAAGGGCGTATGGCAAGTATCGATCTTTTCTAGCAGGGTCCCTTCAGTAGAACCATTTGTTCCATTCGTGAAAATCTCCAAGTTGCTTAATGTCACAGCATCTAGCACCATTCGTTGATTGGCTTTAGCAAACACAGCACCAGGTCTTGTAGCACTGACCATGTCAGAATCCAAGGGAATGTATTCTTCAAAATTGGCCATTGATAAAAGCTCTTGATCAATAAGGCATTTTTTGAGGTAGAAGACACAACCACCTAGAGCAGAGAGGGCCAATTCACTCTTCTCTCCTGGTGTCAACCCAAGAGAATCAGACTCTGAGGTCATACCTTTAAGCACCTGGGGTAACATCACCCCACTGTCCTCATTTAACTTCTCCTTAAAATATCCTTCTTCAAGGAGAGTTCTCAAAGTTTTGGCTGCATCCCAAAACTGGGAGCCTGGTATCAGACCTTCCTGAAGAGAGGAGGATAATGAACCCTTCAGAATCATCTTCGTTTCTGTTGAGAGGTTTCCTTTCTCAAACAAGACTTGTACTGGAGGATAGTGTGCCACTAGAGTCCTAAATCTGGAACAATGGCGATCATCTGAAAACTGACCTATGAAAAACTTTCCCAGTGAGGTATCAACAAAGCATACTCCGTACACCCGAGTGTGGCCAGAAGAATCTTCCTCTTTTTCTTTGAGGCTAAGAAGATACTTACTATAGTTCTCAGAGGGGTCACCTTCCAATACACTGTAGGTCTGTGTACCCTTGGTAATGACTCTACAGATCTCCCTCCTCACCACTCTGTCATACTTAGATATATGTGCCATCTTCCGGCATCGTGCCTCCATCATTTCGGGGGTCTCAGTCTGTTCCACTCGTGCTACCTTATAGCCCTTCTGAACCAGAGAATCGGAGTATCGGCCAAATGCTATTTCAGGGAAACCAGAATGAGCCCAGTTGCCTTTCATGAACACCAGACCTAGTTCGTTGACGCCAGTAAGAGCATCCATGTGGTACAGCTCATAAAACTTCCCCACCTTATAAAATATAACCAGATCAAAGTTCTGAGACTTAATCTGCCACCACTTCCTCATCCCAGGAGTACAGGAATTAAGGAAATCCTCAGGAACAAAGAGTGTGGATGCATCAAAATCAGGGTGATCGGGTCGCCGCCTGTGTAGATCTCTTCTCTTTTCCTCCTTAAGCCACTCTAGAGTTTCATGATACCACAAAGTGGGGCGACTACTATCATCACATCCTCCACCAACGTGGGCTTGAGATTCAGAATTTTGAGGGGCAGAGAAAGCAGTCAAAGCACTCTTGGTGTCTGATGAAATGCCAGGTGACCGTTTGGTAGCCAAGGGCATTTCCTTCCTTGAACTTTTCCTTTTGAGAGAACCATTTCCAGTCACCATTTTCCTCCGCTTTGAAGCAACTTTGACAGGACTGTCCAGGCCCTCACTGTCACTATCCCCCACTCCACTGCTTATTTCATCACTGCTCCCTTCCTCCTTAGCATCCGGCTTGAATTCCACATCAGAGCCACCAACGTCACTCTCAGAGTCTGATATGACCCTTCGTTTTTTTATTTGGCGGCTACTTCGCCTAGATCCTTGGACCTTAGGCCGTACTTCCTCTTCACTTTCAATTTCATTTTCTTCTTCACTCTTACCTGATGAGTAAGTTGCACCTACCTGGCAGGCAAAGAAAGAGTTACTTAAATATAAGACAAAATCTGGAAAATTAAAGTACTGCTGTGGAGTATCTCTCAATATGCTGCAGTATCCTGTATCAGGAGGAGAACCCAGCTCCAGAAATGAGAAACTATGTTCTTTAAGGAATTTCCAAAAAGGGCGCCTGGTTGGCTCAGTCGTTAAGTGTCTGCCTTCGGCTCAGGTCATGATCACAGGGTCCTGGGATCGAGCCCCGCATCGGGCTCCCTGCTCCGCGGGAAGCCTGCTTCTCCCTCTCCCGCTCCCCCTGCTTGTGTTCCCTCTCTCGCTGTGTCTCTCTGTCAGATAAATAAAATCTTAAAAAAAAAAAAAAAAGGAATTCCCAAAAAATAAGTATCAATTTCAGTAGCATCACACTAGAGAATTAAGCAATTCTCTCCTGACAGTTTTATCCTGTACAATAGTGTGGAAGCCATTAGCATGACCATACATCCCAAATACCTACAGGTGATACCCTCATTAACAGTCAGCTGTGGAAGTAACTTTAAATCTCCCTCTGTTAGCCTGGATCTTTCTTCCAGGGTCATCTCTCCTCTTCCAGAGGGACATACGAAGTTTGCCATTTTAAGCAGTGCAATCTATACAGGCTTTCTAGTCCTTGCTCTTCCACAAACCAGCTGTAGCTTCTTGGGCAAGGCCCAGTTCACTTATCATGGATCTCCCACACATGGAAAGTTGTATGAGGCCAAATGATCTTTGTATTACCATCCAGTTCTAAACCTTTCACTGGTGTTATGACCCCTGTCCTCAACCTCGAAAATGAGATTAAAAATCTCTTTTCTTTCATTTCTCTTAAAATACTCATTAGTTTATTCCCTACCTATAACAGAACAAAACATAACATCAGGCTTAGTCATAAATGAATCTCTTAAGCACATAGTTCATTAATTTGTTAAAGTAGAGAAGAATGATTTAATCACTCAAATAGTGACCATTAATACCAAAAAAAAAAAAAGTATCGAGAACATTAGGTAATTAATTTCCAGGGCTTGACCACACCCTCATAGAGAGGCTTACTGCCAGACATCATAACCAAGTTTATCAACATGTCCTTACCGTCCTGTTGTTACCAAAATGGTGTACTACCTCTTACGGCATGTGTCTTCTAGCAGGCTTGAAGCTTGAGAACTTAAGCAAAATGGCTGCTGAGATTCTAACCTAACTTAACCTACAGTCCTACAGAAGTGTAGAAGTATGTGTATGAGTATTTGGGGTACCTGGGTAGCTCAGTCTGTTAAGCATTCAGACTCTTGATTCTGGCTCAGGTGGTGATCTCGGCTGTGAGATCAAGGCCCCGATCAGGCTCCACGCTGAGTGTGGAGCCTGCTTAAGATTCTCTCCCCTTGGGCACCTGGGTGGCTCAGTTGGTTAAGCGACTGCCTTCGGCTCAGGTCATGATCCTGGAGTCCTGGGATCGAGTCCCGCATCGGGCTCCCTGCTCAGCAGGGAGTCTGCTTCCCCCTCTGACCCTCCTCCCTCTCATGCTCTGTCTCGTTCTTTCTCTCTCAAATACATAAATAAAATCTTTAAAAAAAAGATTCTCTCCCCTCTTCTCCCTCTCCCCCTCCTCATGCTCACACTCTCTCACAAATAAAAGATAAAAGAAGATGTGTATGAGTATTAAAGTGTATGTGTGTGTATACATATAAATAAAACAAGAGAATATCACTTTAATACCCCCCCTTTTCCATCACTTTCCCAACATAATTAACAACAGACTGTTGAACAATATCCCACCTCCATCTCTTCTTCCTCTGGTTCTGAGGGCTCATCACACACTGCCAATTCAAGCCTCTCAATCTTGTCTTTACTCAAGGCTTCATCTGCACGTTGCATTGCTCTGAGTATTTCAGGCTTTGAACTGTAAAAATGACCTCCTTTTTGCACTTCCTTCGATTTTGAACCTAAAAAATTTAATTTATATTTCTTATTAAGCAAATCTTACTCATTTATAAATAAGAACTGTTAGCTAGGGAATGGGCTCAATGTCTAACACGTGCACTAATGGACAAGCATGAGAAGAATCAAGTACAGTTTTTAACGTCCCATTACGTTTGATTGATAATAGATCAGTAAAGCCTACAGTAACTTAAATTACCTATTTTACGTCCTTGAAGTTGCCTTAACTATTGGGTCACCCAGAACTACTTCATCTCTCTTCTAATGACCTGGGACTGTGGCCCTAAATAGATAAAGGCACCCCTCTTCAGGTGAAGGAGATGTAAAAGGGTTTTGAGACCCTTTGTACAAAAAAATCACTTCAGGAAGGCAAAAACTACACTGTCAGTTAAATGAAGCTATGATACTAAGTTTATCCCCAAGGTAATTAAATAGGGTATACTAAAAACAAAACCCTACTAGTAAGGATACTAACATTTTGGAAGGGTAACCCAGTTCAAACTTTGAATGGTTTTGTTTTTGTTTTTTAGGTTGAATCAAATTGTTTTGTTTTCAGGTAAAACTCTTCCTTTATTCCTTTCAGATTATTTTTTTTAAAAGATTTTATTTGAGAGAGAGCACGCCTGCAAGTGGGGGGAGGGGCAGAAGGTGAGGAGAATCTCAAGCAGACTCACCACTGAGTGGGACGTGGGGCTCCATCTCAGGACCCCAAGATCAGGACCTGAGCCAAAACCAAGAGTCGGATGCTCAACTGACTGAGCCACCCAGGTGCCCCAAGAGCTGTAATTTTAAATGACACTCCTATCCTCTGAGCAAAAGATTATATGCAGATGATCACAAGTTTAATGGCAGAGGCCTAACTAGCAATGTCTTTGTTTTCTTCTGACTGAATATAATTAGAAAACAAACCTGAACTTGTCTAAATTTAACAGATCCAAACATTACATTATTTCCTTCTTTCTACTGTATACTAAAACTAATGGGACATCCTAAAGTGCCATTACATTAGCAACTTGATGGGCTGCCTAAAATAAAGGTGCAATTGCCCACTTTTCTCAAGAGCTGCACCAACAGTACAAATTGCAACAATCAAAGTCCATTGGAGGGTGGCTCCTAACTTCCTCAAGTGCCTGTTTGCAGCTGCATGCACCCCCCACCTATCTAATGACCTCATCATTCCCCAGAAAATCCCTGATGCAAACTGCTTTCCAATTTTAAGGACCTCCCCCCTCCAGAAAGAATTAAAAACCTAGTTTATCCTCATCCATGCTATTGCAACAATTTCGGAATTTAAAGGGCAAAGGTGGTACACAACGGGTGCCTTTACAAAATAATGACAACATAAATGTAAACTTTTTTGGGTATTTTTAAATTAAAGTCATGTTGCCAAAGCTTTGTTTAGAATCTCAAAAGTTGGCGTGCCTGGGTGGCTCAATGAGTTAAGCATCCAACTCTTGATTGTGGCTCAGGTCAAGATCTCAGGGCCTGGAGATGGAGCCCTGAGCTAAAGATTCTTCCCACCCCCGCCCCCACGCACTAGCGTGCTAGCTCTTAAAAAAAAAAAAAAAAAAGGAATCTCAAAATTAGTCCTAGAAAAAGACCTTTTGTTACCTGGTTCAACTCTCCTTTTACATATGAATAAGCAGGATCTGAGTTACTTTTTTGGCCAAGATTATACAGCAAATTAGTGCAGAAGACAGAACCAAATTTCCAGATTCTTTCCATCCTGCAGGTCAGATTTGCATGCAGACTGCACTTTCTTCAGTGTGCCCTCCTCGCCCTGCAGGATGACGCTATGACCAAAAGGCAGGATTCCCAGAGATTCCTGGGAAATTGACCCTTATTCTGATTCCAAAACACTGAGTTCAACAGCACCCTAGCCTGGAGAATCTGAGGGTAATGGATAAGGACTTACTCATGCTCAAGCGTATACGGGCAGTGAACCTGGCAAACATAATGAGCGTGTGCACTGGAGAATTCAAGAAACTGATAGGCCCAAGTGAAGCTACACAGGCAGGACTGCTGACGTCTAGGACATAAAAAGCTGGGCCTGGAAAAAGCACATCATGGTTCCAGAAGTCTGATGTGAAACTCAACTCAGATGTGCTCCTAAGTGAGGATTTTGAAGGCTAAGTAAACATGCATCTCCATCTGCCCTAGACAGTGTCACTGATCTATTTGCTACATATCCTGACCGCACTGCCTTTCTCTTAGATCTCTGAAGATCGGGCCCTGTTAATTTACCCTTTTCATGCCTGAATTTGGTATTTGGGTCCAAATGAGATCTAACCATGAAAACATTTTTCCCTTACGGGCATGATATTGCCATTAAGTCAACTGAAAAGACAGAAATAAAAATTCCACCCCACAACAAACCAGCTAAAGACCAGCTGCATCTTCTCTTTTTCCCGTGCTGGAGGCATCCACCCTGCCACTCCTGAAATTTACTGGCATAAAATACACTTAATGTCACTGTACGGGAGTCGCAGACACTTGTGCTGCATGCTTGCTCTCTTACACTCTCTCACACACACTCTGAAGAGTGGACTCTCTTACCTGTATATGGCTTTAATAGCCTTCTGCTAACCCAGCCCCTTGTTGGGCTGTCATCAAAAAACTGTACATGAACTCGGACAGACTTCCCTTTCTCACGGATGAATGTTCCATCAAAAGGGTGGTTGTAAACCAGGCAAGGCCACCAGGGGTAACCCTCCATCTTGGCCCAAACCAAATCACCTGGTGAGAAGTCACAAGAACTGTTGCCAAAAGGAAATATATAACTTGGTTAATATTTGGTTAAGTTACATTAAAGGCAATTACGTACAAATAAGCAATTCCAAGGAAGGCATCATTAACACTCCTTTGAAGTCTTCTGGCATTAATATTCAAGCACAGACATTCCAGAATTTTTTTTAAATCAGATGTTCAAAAAAATAAAGTAAAATTTAAAAAATCAGATGTTCAAGTCATATAATGAATTCTGGTATTAAGGTGAGAAACTGTTTCTCAGAAAATCAAAGTTTATATAAGCTATGGCCAAATTCTGGTAGAATACTGATGCAAAGAAAAAGGCACAGACTCATTGTACATGCTCTGCAAACTATAATGTATCACACGTGTATACTACACTATGGGATGTGTCAGGAACAGGACCTGACCCATGGTATTACTAAAATACCAAACATACTATGTAATTGGTTAATGATAATAAATATTACCTCATCAGACTCTGCTTGGAATCTGTTTCCAGTTAACACTCCACAAGCTACCTAGCACACTAACCCCCACCCCTAGGAATCTGTTTTTATGGAAAAAGTAAACAGAGAAGCGCCTAACACGCCCCAAAATAATGAGTATATATGCCTGCAGAATCAAAAACGAAGATTCACTCTTCATGAAAATTAATTTGGTCCTGAAGGTTTCCTGAGAAAGGGAAAGGAGAGCGTAGCGGGAGAGGAAGAAGAATCGAGCTGAAAAGACTACAGCAGATGTACGCCTGAAACTAATAGAACACTGTATGTTAGCTAACCGGAATTAAAATTCAAACTTAATAGGGGCGCTTGGCTGGCTCCGAAGGCTAAGCATCTGGCTCTTTATTTCAGCTCACGTCCTCATCTCAGGGTCAGGAGACTGAGCCCTGCGCTGGGTGCAGCACTGGGTGTGCAGCCTGCTTGAGATTCTCTCCCTCTGCCTCTGCCCCGCCCTGCTCGTGCGCGCACTCTCTCTTAAAAAATAAAACTTAATAAAAAAGTAAAAATTAAAGACTCCAGCAGAGACCCTCAGTGATGGAGATACCGCAACAGCTAATAAATTCTGCTCAAATACTATATACCAAGATTTTCTAAACTTGCTTAAAGGTTTTCATTAAATAACTGCAAAAGTAAAGTAAGTACATTACAAACAAGAATATTTTAGAATAGCTTGCATTAGTACCCTGGGGCGACCTTATTCAGACCCAGTCATGAAGTTAAAGCAGTCCTGTCTGGAGAAATGTGAACAGGAAACCCCTAGGCTAGACAATCAGCAAAGCCAAACTACAGCATGACTTCAGCGGAAGCTCTTCTCAAGGGCCTTTACGGTACGTGCGCTCTTACAGGAATCTACAGCAACCTGCACAAGCACAAATCCGTAAGTACTGCCGGCAAGCTCACCACACGGTGGATCTTCAAACAGGAAGCTCCGTCTATACAATTCAAACTTCTCCCTTAAGCCCTTCCTCCTTACCAACATGTCCACTGACAGGAGACAAAGACCCTGACAGCCACGCAGAATGCTCGACAAGCCTCCCTACTGTCACGCCGTCTTTCTCTTAACTCTTGGCCAAGTAGCCACTTAACCACAAAAAGCCTGTCGCAAGTGCAAGTATCAGAAAACCACAAGCTTTCTTTGTACGGAAGTACCTGAGACTACCCTACAGCTGTACTCTTTTTCTGCTGCTAAAGGAGGGAAATAACTTGTCTCCCTAAAGACACTATCAGTTCTGAGTCTGAACCCGACCGTAATTTTTAGAAGACTGGCCAAACAGAGTAAGTACATGTTATATCAGTGAACACGTCCCCCCTCAGGAAGCGTATTTCTGGCTGTACAGTCTTGAGACATTAGGCTTCAAAGCAGATTTTTCTGAAAGGGGGATCACTAGGGATACCTATCTGTCAAGCCTGGCTGCCCTTTATTTTTTTTTTACAGATTTTATTTATGAGAGAGAAAGAGAGAATGCACACTGAGCGGGGGGCAGAGGGACAGAAGGAAAGGGAGGGAGAAGCAGACTCCCCGCTGAGCAGGGAGCCCAACTTGGGGCTTGATCCCTGGGGATCACGACCTGAGCCGCCAGCAGTTTAACCGACTGAGCCACCCAGATGCCCCCTGGCTGCCCTTCTTAAAGGCAACTAAATCCCTTAAAAGAGACGCAGGTAACGTTTTGGTGTGTACGTAGCAAAGCGTGAACCCCATCTGGCTAGTTTGAGGCAGTCCCTTCCCTAGGTATTGAATTTATTATATATATGGGGATGAGCCCTGAGCCTGACCAGTATGGGGTGAGGTTTACAACGTGTTCTTGGTTTGTAAAATTAAAGAGGACTATTTTTCTTGCCTTTGTGAACGGAGTTATGGAGGGTAAGGACTAAGTGCTGAACTGGACACCAACTGTTTTATTACATACATGTCTTACAAAAGTTACAAATTCTCAAGAATGGAGTTAGTGCATAAGAGACTGGCAGGAATGTACATCTTGGTGATACATTTGAAGTTCAAAGGAGCAGGATGCCTCAAATCCAGTGGAATTCTATTTTGCCTGGTAGGAGGCAACAGAGCACTTGCAGGCATCTCAGTGGTCTCGGAGGCCGGACTAAGTGCTGAACTGGACACCAACTGTTTTATTACATACATGTCTTACAAAAGTTACAAATTCTCAAGAATGGAGTTAGTGCATAAGAGACTGGCAGGAATGTACATCTTGGTGATACATTTGAAGTTCAAAGGAGCAGGATGCCTCAAATCCAGTGGAATTCTATTTTGCCTGGTAGGAGGCAACAGAGCACTTGCAGGCATCTCAGTGGTCTCGGAGGCCGGACTAAGTGCTGAACTGGACACCAACTGTTTTATTACATACATGTCTTACAAAAGTTACAAATTCTCAAGAATGGAGTTAGTGCATAAGAGACTGGCAGGAATGTACATCTTGGTGATACATTTGAAGTTCAAAGGAGCAGGATGCCTCAAATCCAGTGGAATTCTATTTTGCCTGGTAGGAGGCAACAGAGCACTTGCAGGCATCTCAGTGGTCTCGGAGGCTCCCAGAGAAACTATGACTAGGATCAAAATTCTTTTTTTTTTTTTTTAAGAATTTATTTATTTGAGAGAGAGAGAGAAAGAAAACATGAGCGGGGGAGGGGCAGAAGGTGAAGCAGACCCCTGCTGAGCAGGGAGCCAGATGCAAGCTTGATCCCAGGACCCCAGGATCATGACCTGAGCTGAAGGCAGACGCTTAAGAATGAGCCACCCAGACGCCGCTAGATCAAAATTCATGAGCAAAAAAATGAGATGGCCATGCCTGCCTCCTGAAAGTTCCTTTCTATCCTTAATTAAGAGTAACTCAAGTTTCTGAGACCCAGAAGACATGGGGAAAATTTTTTTTAGCTTTATACCTAAACTTACTATATAATAAAATATTGCTGTTTTAACATGAATAAGTTCATTCTAGTTTTATCCCAAAGGAATTAACTTGAGCTAAGAATACTGTTACCTTAAAACTCCCACTTGTGCAAATGTAGTACAAATTGTAAAACGAACTATACAGTGTTCAAAGGTCTCAAGAATTCCAAGCAACCAATTTAAAAATTTAGTATCTTTAAACTTATTTTGCAAGGCAAATGTACATACTCACTAGAGAAAAAAATGTGTAAAAGCTAATTACAATCGGGGTGCCTGGGTGGCTCAGTGGTTAAGCGTCTGCCTTCGGCTCAGGCCATGATAGAGGGTCCTGGGATCAAGCCCCGCATCGGGCTCCCTGCTCGGTGGGAAGCCTGCTTCTCCCTCTCCCACTCCCCCTGCTTGTGTTTCCTCTCTGGCTGTGTCTCTCTCTGTCAAATAAAATCGTTAAAAAAAAAATAAGAAAAAAGCTAATTACAATCAATTATCAGTTTTGAAGTAAATTCCTTATCTGTAAAGTTAAAATGAACTATTCAAACTGTTCTTCAACATCACCTTACCCTAAATATATCTTACACTTACAGAATCTTACACATAACCTAACTTTTCTGATGTTCGCAACTGGCACTACACTATGTAACGCAAAGACTAAAACATTTAGTAATAAGCACTGTTCCTCTAACGCTAAAAGTGGACACTTAAAAAATTCTGGTCCAGGAAACCGTGGCTTCCAACCAAAATGAGAATTAAGCAAGTAATAAAATATACTGTGTAAGGGCACCTGGGTGGCTCAGTTGGTTAGGCGTCTGCCTTCAGCTCGGGGTCCTGGGATCGAGCCCGGCATCGGGCTCCTTGCTGGGGGGACAGGGGGGAGCCTGCTTCTCCCTCTGCCCCTCC